TTTCTAGATTTTTATTTGTTCTTTAAAATGTTTAAAAATTAAATTAATAATATTTTTATCTCTTTTTTAGGTTTTTAGAGCTTTTAGAGAGAAACAAAATGGTTTTTTAAAAGTAAGATATATTATTTTTTAGAAAAAATACTAGCAAGATAGATGTTGTGGTTGGACAAGTACTATTAGGGCCCACTGTACAACTTTTATCGCGAAAAACAACCTAACTGTAAATATTAACCATATACTCTTATCCCTTTCTATCATGTAAGTTAGCTTAAAAGATCGTTATGTATATACATCCGTCTCGCTCACAGACAAGCGAACAGAGGGATGAACAAGAATTGAAAAGGGACTTGGTTTTTGACTCAAGAAGAGTGGTTGAGATAATAAAAGACATTAAAGAAAAAGGACAACAAGTAGGGAATGTTATACTTTTACAATGTTAATTTAAACGCCATAACTATAGTAATAATAATAATAATAAAAATATGACAAAAATGTGCATTTACTTTATAGATATTTTATACTTTTTTAAAAAATACAAATATTTTAGGATTCTCCAAAAATCGTTTCTCTATATATCCATCTAGTTTTTAGTTCTGAAAGTAAAGTTTCTAATTATAAAATAAGTTTACGACAATTTCTAGCCTACAAATGGCTATTTTTCAGATTTATGAAACTCCTTTTAAAACCAACATTTTCTTGATAACTACACCAAAGTTTAAGCCAAGTCCTCTAAGAATTTCATATTAACTATTAAATCATTATTAAACCATTATTAATCCTTTATTAAATCATATTTAAATATGTTTCTTGGTGTACTCCTACAAGTATAACTTTGGTTTTGCAAAATACTTTTTACAGAAAATCAATCATAAAAATTCTCATATTTAGAAACTCTCTTTAAGATCAACTTTTGTTATTCTCTTTTTCCAAAATTATAACCTAAATCTTTGAAAGATTACCCTCATATTTATATTCTCTAACTTAACAATAAAGGAAGACATTCTTCCAATGTATTCATATAACTTTTGGACCTGAAAACAAAGTCAGGATAAAGTACTTTTTACCAAAAAACCATCCCAAAAATATCTAAGCTGTTAAACTCTCTTTAAAACCAACATTTTCATAATATTTCCAACAATTTTTAAGCTAAATTTTAGAAGCAATTTGTCAGTTTTGTGACTATAAAATATCTAAAAATAATTACCCAATGCATCCACATAACTTTGGCTTTGCAAAGACCCGTCTGGAGATATTACTTTTTACAGTAAAACCATCCTAAAAAATACAAAATAGTAAAATTCCCCCTAAAACCAATATACTATGAAGCTATTTATCGAAAGTATTAAACTAAATCTTAATAATTTATATTTTTTTCCAACCATTCAACATCCAACAATATTTTTCCCATGTACTCTTATAACTTTGGATGTTGGATCTGCAAGTGGTGTCTGGGAACAGCAACGTTTCATTGGGTCCGAATTGTTTTTGACAGGCAAGCTGTTGCCAGCGTTTCGGCATCGTAAAAAATGTCCTTGAAAATGTGTCAATTTGTTAGGGCTGGGAAAAGGGGGAAAGGGGGGGGAGAGAGAGAGAAATGCAGTTGGAACACCCTGGCCAAGCATTACCAATACAAAATGAGCTTTTGGCACTCGGGGCGGGGCTAAGGACACTCGTCGAACGGAACATCTGGTCTAATTAGACTGGATATGAATTGCTTGACATCACATTGCTATATTTTCCAGGACATCAAAGTGTCCACAGACGCTCAAAGTTGAAGTCAAAGTGGAAGACCACAATGCATAAGGACTCTATACAAATAATGCCGAGAATTTCTCATTAGATGGGAAACTCTCATTGTCCAGGACTTTGAATACTATGATAATGTCAAAGTTTTGTAAAGGTTTTTATATAGGTTTGCGTCATTATTCGGGGATTATTGGCTCTGGAAGGGGTTGGAAAAAGGTTGGAATCTTGGCAAGCCATCTTACTAACTAAGCTCTTTTGCACTTTGATTTAATCTAACAGATCATGGCTGTGCGACCATTGCCCAGAAGGTGCAAAAAGCATAGAAAAAACATCCTCTTCTAAGATATGCAAACTGGCAATCGAAAGATTTAGTGATTGGAGAAATGCTACTGGCAGATGGCCAGGTCAAAGAGCACACACATCTGGCTAACTGGCTAGTGGAAACTGCAACTGTTGGCAGCAAAACCACCTGCAGTGCTTTCAACTTTTCCATTCCTCCTTTGGCCAAACTGCACAAACAAATTAACAAAGAACGTTGCTGGCAAGCTGAAACTGAATCGAAAGCGGAATCGGAATCGGATGAGGATGAGGAATCGGAAGCAGTAGCAGTAGCAGAAGCAGAAGGAGAAGCACAAGCAGAAGCGGAAACGGATACGGAAATCGTCCAAGCAACAGGCAACAACAAATGATAAGAGGCGAGTGCAAAACAGCAGCTGCAAGTGACGCGGGGACAGGACTCAAGGATGCAAGGTGGACTTGAGGATCCAAGGACTCGAACGGCAACACGATGGAATAACATTTGTTGCGCTTTGCTCTTTGCCCGGCCTGCCAGTCGCCATTCGCCATTCGCCATCAGCCATCCGCCATTCACCGATGTCCTTTTGTGAAATGTCAATCGCTGGTCCACCCAATCCTTGATTCTCCTCCTCTGTCGTTTATATGAGTTTCTTTTTTTTTTTCCTTTTTCAACCTCTCCCCACCCAACTGGCCACATTGTCACATGCTCACGCTCCACGCATTCAGCCTAATCGATAGCAATCAATACAATTTGTGGGCGACTCCAAAAACTGTTGCACACACTCCGGGACAAAGGAACTTGAGACACGAACGGTGGCTTGAATTTCACCTGGCAAATTTCACTTTAAGTTGAGCTTTAAATATATATATACTATATACTATATGAGAGAGTAAAGCCAATTAAAGAAGGAACATGAAATCACGATTGACTCGCCACAGGTTGCGGGTTATTAATTCAAGGCAAAAACCAAAGCCAAACAGATTTCATTCTTATTGGGCAGCCACAAAGCGAACAAAGTTCTAGCAATCACATTCATATCTATTTATTATGCCACATTCCGTCGGCCATTTCGACCACCTACCAGCTGTCTATTGACAAAAATCCACAGTACAGCGGTATTTTGGTGGCATGAAACTTTATTCTTTCTTTTTTCCAGGCACCACATGATGCTCTTTCAGTGGTTTTAGCCAGCAAATTCCAAAGGTTTTATGTTTTCCATATAAATTTTATGTGTTATTGTTAAAAAATTACTAAGTTCTCCAGTTTTTAGTTGGTAGAAACTCTCCATCTACAAACTAGCCAAATCCTTGAGATTAATGTTTCACTTTTCCCCCAACAGGTGGCTACAACCCTAATAACCCACGATCGAGTTACAAGATCGCAGTGAAAGTAACTCAACCTCTACAGGCAGGGTGTGATAATAAAGCTAAAATCGAGAGAGAGAGAGAGAGAGGGCAAGCTAAACGACAAAATTTCAATGGCAATTTATTACCGTTACCAACGTCAACCGTATCTTTGTATGTGAGTATCTATGTGATGGGATGGGGACATGTGTGTGTGTCTGTATGTCAGCTTTTGTGCGTCGTCACACAAAAATCGATGGTGCGGCGACCAAAATAAAGGCCGAAAAAACGGCAGAAAAAAAAACACAGAAAAACAGAGTCCAACAAGTTTGTTAGTATCTATAGTTAACTTATTTCAGTTGGCCTGGTTAAAGATTTGTCTAGCCAAAAAAGCGAGAAAAAAGACGGCTTGGTAATTAGTCGATAATTTCACAGGCAATGCACAGAGAGCGTTGGGCTTCTGCCGCTGATTTTTCTGCATCGTCTGCTGTGACGTCAGTTGGTTACCACCAATAGTTCGGGCTGTTTGTATGGACCTGGCTTAAAGTGAAAACAGGACCGCCTATACAAAAGATGTCTGTGCCTGACTACCAACACAATGGCAATGGCAGCGCCAGATTGGCATAAAGTCGCCCTTTGACATGGGCGTTGCAGCGTAATATCCCTGGGAACCTGGCAAAATAACACTCTTTTAACGAACTACTCAACTAAGCCAAGTCAAACGAAGGACTTAGTGCTAGTCAAACAGTTTTGGCCAGCTATGAGAGGCATAGTTGGTATGAAAGTTGGTAAAGAAGGGTAGTTACTAGGCATATTCTACAGCAACTTTAAATGTTTGTTAACATTTCTTGGTATAAATTACTAAAAAAAATAGACATCAACTTTAGTATAAATTTCTGCTGCTGTTTTCTTGGAAAAAGTGGTAAAAAAAAACATAAAAAACAACTTTTAGGTTTATAAAAACCACCAACTATAGTTCTCTAACAAACCAATAACAATTTCCTACAGATTAAAGCCAAGCTGTAAGACAACGCGTCGTATACTTAATGCGTATACATTATTACCCTGCCCTCTTACAGTAAGTAACTAATAAAAAATAGAGAAAAGCAACTGGTCGAAAGGGTATTAGATACCAAGATCCCTTATGCTAAACCTTGTTTCTTGCGGTCGAGGCTATTGTTTCCTTTCATTCGAAGCTTTTTGTCGCCTTCGTCGGTGGTCCTAAGTAAGGGTAAGATGCCCTTGTGGTATTCTGGCATGCGTTCAACACCGTTTTGTGAATCCCGTCACGTTTCTGGGTTTTACTTCAAACACCATTTTGGCCAATTGCTTCCTCTGCCAGCAAAGAAGGTGGTCGCTCCTCCTCTGCCTCTGTTCCGCCACTCCCTCGAGTGGCCCATTGAACTAGTTCGATGTGGTTATGTTTTGATTTCTAGATACATTCGGGTTATGTATTATATTTACTTAGGTAACTATCTTTGGATACTCTAAGGGATTACTATTTCCGATTTGTTATTAGTTTCTTTCATTTTTAGATGCCATTGTTTAAGCTGGGAACATGGGAAAAGTCTTTCATAGTGGTTCCTAATATCAAAGTTCAACAGCGGGGCAACCTTTTAGGTTTCTTTTTGCCTGGCACCGATTCCGCTCCGTTCCACTCCAATCGCTTCACATGCATGTCCATGTCCATGTCCCTGTCCATGTCCACATCCATGTCCTTGTGCGTTTAATTGTGGCTCTGTGTGTCTGTTTGGCGGCGCACTACAGGCAGCAGGCAGCAGGCAGCACAGGAGTGTAAGTACAAGTAGTCAAGGGCACGTGGCGGGGTCAAGTTCTGGTTTCTGCTGTTTCGGATTGGTTGGTCCACTGAATGCCAATGCCAATGCCAATGCCAATGCCAAAGCCCGCTGGGAACTGAGAGAGCTGGCATTTAGTATCCACCAACCAACGGTTTTAGCAACCGTAAATCACTGGTCCAGAGCTGTTGCCATAATCGCAGTCACAGCCAGATTTCCAGGATACCAGGAAAGAGAGAGAGAGGAGGGACTCTAACTATTGATTAGAAATCACATTCGCATTTCGCATTAGCTTCCTGTTTGGTCAATTGAATCCGATTCAATTGTGTGAACAGTTGATTGCCACCAGATGTCGATTTCCATACTACATTCTGCTCTCAGTGCTCTCACTGAGCCGGCTTAAGTATACCTGCTTTCGAGTTTGATTTTGATTTTGATGCCAAACTGAGGCTGGCAAAACTTTATAATACACAGGCGGCCAAAAAGATGTTCAGATACACAGATACAAACTGAGAGGCTGGGAAGCCCATAAAGTTTGTTTCAGCCAACCGAAAAAAAAGGGTTGACGACGACAACGGAAGTCGACTGCCATTCACGACTATAGAGAACATTTTTATCAGTGATCCATTGGATTCAGCTTGGATATTTACTGCCTCGGCACAGGCCCACGCATCTTTGGAATCCTCTACTTATTTTTCCCAGGATAAAAAGTGTGTGTGCTCATCCAGTTGGCAATTCTGGGAAACAATTGGGCTGCCTTCATTTGTAATCTTCATAAATAAACTGGATTACGGATATGTCTTATCTAGATGTTGACGGATTGAACTTCCTTGGGAAACTACGTAAGGCGAGGTGAGTATTTTGGCACCTAAAATGTATCCTTGATTCAGAAATTTAACATTGATTGGTAGTCATTGGCAAGCAATGAGAAATATCACCTTTAAAAAAACTTTTCCTGGATATTTGCTACCAAAATTGTTATAAAGAAAAGCCAAGACCAGGCCAGGTTCATCAAAATATGCAAAGCAGCTAATAACTAATAATTTCCATTAACAATTTGGCAGGGCTGAACGGTAATGACAATGCGAGCAGGAGCAACAAGGAGGGGGGGGCGGCTCATCTGGCAGCCAGCTCACGTGCCATGTCCAAGCCAGAGGCTCATTGTCAATTCCAAAGACATGTTAGGTACTCAGGAAAGAGGGGAATCCCATCCAGTATCTACGAGTAGTAGTATCCAAACCAAAGCAACCTTCGCCAAAAGATATTCTCAATGCTCAGCCAGCAATAAATCCTGGGATTTCCCCTGAAAAATCATCGGAAGTACTATAAGCAACATGAACGATGAGGAGAAGGGGATTGGGATCTGCTGAAGAGTTGTTAATTATGCTGTCAAATCAGTGAGGCGGGGAAGGGCAGGATGTGCCTTTGCCATGCTGCTATGTTTGTTGACTATCAACGCTCCACGTCCCTCAACCACCGAACTATCACGGTGTTTGTCCTGCCTTTCGCTGCCGAACAATTGATGTGCATAAAGTCAACATTGGTGTGGCACTTGTCCAGGGTTCCGCCCCTTGCCACTTGCTATAGTTACACTTCGGTAATCTCTGTGGAGCAGGAGCAGGAGCAGGAGTAGGACCAGGAGCAGCACCTGGTCTTACCACGCTCCATCGGTTTGATATCCTTCCCAATTAGGTATTTAATTAAAAAGCAAAAAAAAAAAAAAAAGAGAAAAGTAAAAGAAATCAAACAGAACGCCCCGCAAAGTGTCAATTGCAGTGCTGAATGAGGCGATGATTGAGTGCGAGACGATGACGAGGTGGCCCCCGGAGGCAAGTCCGGAAATGAATGTTGGCGAAGGGCACACTCCATCCGGGGGAAGGGGAAGAGTCAAACTGAAGTTTCAAGGGGACACCACACAGAGAGTGTGTGAAGTTAGAACTGAAGTAGAAACTTTCCCAGAGGCAGGAGGTCTCACCAGAGATCAGCGTTAAATAGGATTTTACACCGCTAATTGACACAGCAATACACTCAGACATTGGACATGATTATAGCAGAAACAAATTTAAATAATAATTGATTGCCATTTTAATTGCAATTCAAATATGTATTCAGATTAAGCATTCATTTATGGGAAGTTTAGTCAATTTTTAATATTTTAAATGGATTTTTTGATGGTTTGTTTGAGAGAAAGTCAGAAATGAAGTCAAGTTCTTAGTTTAACCTACAAAATAAATACTTAAATAGCAGTTGCAACTTTTTCTATGACCATAGGTTACGTTAAAGTTATAAATTCCTGTTGATCCGGCCATAAATCACACTGCGATAGGCGTCGTTTGGCGAAGGAGGAGGACTCCCGCCCACAATCAGAGGGTAATTAGGGCAATAGAGATAAGAACTTCTCACTCAACCTTCACTATTAGTTCACTCTGAGCTTAGTAGATGTTTTAAGTAACTAACTGCCGAAGTTATCTTAATATTTAATACAAAATAAAACATAATTTACCCCTATAAAAGGTAGGCTCATGACAAAAATATGCCATCAGGCGAAATAACACCCAAGCAACCCAAAGCGGGAAAAGGATTGGGAATACCTGTAAGTAGAGGAGGGAGAGGGGGGGAGGGGATGTCATCATCCCTGCCCCCAAAGAGAATTCCCAAAAAGATTTGCTTACCCCCCAACCTCAAGCTCTAAGGTCCAATTGGGGAGTGGCTGGCATCTATTTATAAAGCTTCCCTAATTGGAATCCCCCGCCAGGAAAATGGAAAATGTGTTAACCTTAACTCGGTGTAAGTAGAAGGTTTTGGGCTCAGGAAAAAGGTTATCTAGGGTATGGGATAAGGCTTAGGAACTAAGGAGAGAGGATGCTCTAAAGGTTAATGCACCCGCCAGTATAAGAAGTGCTGTGATTTCGTGTCCTTTTTTAGTTAATTAAATATCCTGCAAGCCTTAGTCTCTCTTTTTTACAAGGAATCTTATATCGTATACATATCTATAAGGCATGCTATAAGTTCTATATATATTGTATATATCTTATGGGAATATGATTTTGAATATTTATTTAATATTTAATACCTATAACTTTACATATTTAGTTTTCCTCAACTTGATGGATGAGAGATGGTCGTTTCGATTGCAAAAATTTACAGGCTAAGCAATGGCTGGTTATAATGCGGATAAGATATGATTATAATATGCTTTTAATGTGGTTAATATAATTAATATATATATGTATATATATGTGTGCATGCTACTATATAGTAATTGGGTTGATTTCATTTCATTTTGGGTCAGTTGTGGGCTCTCTTTTCGGGGCCAGGCTAGGCCCACCTTCGGCTGCCTTGCCATGGCATGCCCAATTAGCTAATGGATATTGACAAGGTCGCTAAGAGCGCAAGGAGGATGGGATGGATGGGATAGCTACTTGGGAGTAAGGGTAATGAAGCTTGGGTATCGGAATCCGTTTGACTCACCTGTCGCCATGGGAGTCCCTGTCCCTGTCGCGTTCCAGTTCCGGATTTGGGTTGGCCGGAGCCAGAGTTTCCGATCCTGTTAAAGCTGCAGCAGCACCGGCCTCCTCTACTTCGACTTCCATTTCTACTTCCGGTTCGGGTTCGGGTTCGGGCTCGGTTTCTGGTTCCCGCTCCGGTTCCGGTGGAGATCCGCAGCTACCATGTCTGCTAGTAGAAGCCTCTGCTTCCTGCTGCTGCTGCGGCTGCTGCTGCTGCTGCTGCTCCTCCTGCTTAGATCCGTTCTCCTGCTGCTTGTCCGACATCCTCGCTACGATTCGTTTCGTTCTTCTTCGAGTCCCGCTTATATGGACGGCTCCTAACCAGGTCGCGATGAAACAGAGATGGTACAGACCAGATGGCCAGGTGTTGTAATTGTTTTTAAATAAAATCGCTGCTGCAGCGGGAACCCAGGCAGAAGGCAGAAAGAAAAAAAAAAGTGGAAGCGGAAAACGAAACGAGAGGGAAAACAATGCCATGCGAACAAAGGGAAAAATAATGTAAATTAATTGCCGTGGCTGGTGGAAAGCCTCTTACTACCCCTCCTACCCTCCTTCTAACATCTTATTATTCCCAGTTTATTTTTTTATTTTTCCTGTCTTCTTGTTGGTTTTGGTGGTGGTCGGACCAAATTAGCCGCAATATTAAAATAAAAAGCGAAACTTCTCCATCCTTGGCCTTAAAATGTGCCGGCGGTCGGAGCCAGGACTATAATAACTTTTTAACGCTCCCGGGAAGCGAGTCGTTGGGGCTTGCAGTTGGGGATATAAAAAAAAGAAGAAGAAGATGATCAGGTCAGGTCAGACCCAGAGAACAACCCTTTAAAATATTCGCAGAGGAATGCCAAACAATATTCTCTGTGGTAAAGGAGAGCTGGCATGGCTAAGGTTATGGCTGCCAGCTAAAGTATTTTAATCTATTTCAAAGTTTGTTAATACAAAAATCAATCAATGGGAGTTTTAGTTTTTAAGTTAGTTGGATAAATACACTAATTTTATTTAATATTTTTGCAGAAATATAGCTCAGAGTAGGTAAGTAGTTAAATATTAAACCAGTTTTATGGATAAAAGTCTAAATTATTATCATACTTTTAGAACCTTTTTTAAATATCTCAAACTGAGACTTTCTGTATGACATTTTCGTTAAATTTCAAAGTAAAATTCATTGTTTTTGTAGTATCAAGTAGTGTAGGGTATTAACCTGTTTCATATGCAAAAAAATGCTTCCTGATTTTAGCCAAGTTCCCGTATAATGCTCTCGACGAACACCGAGAGCCGTGATGGTAAAACCATGAAAGGGCTAAGAGCCGGTGATTGTTGCGGACAAGAGGCTTAAAGCGTCAACATCCCGCCGATTACAATTGATCACCCAGAGCGGATTATGGCCATCACATATACTCGAACAGAGCAAAGCCAAACCAATTGCAAGTAATTACAAAATGGGTTACTTTTCTATAATTTACGTTAAGTCTTTACCATTTATCTTTCATAACAATTTGTTATGGAAAATCTAGTTAGTTTTTAATAATAACAAATTAGTTGGAATGTTATATATAGTATATACAATCCAAATAACAAATAAAACCACGTCTGAGCCAGACAGAGCAGTTAGAAATCTCAAATCATTCACCTACGATTAGGAATCAAAAAGATTAACGACTGACGGCTGGCGGCTGGCAAAGCCGATTAGATTAGGGCGGAAAGCGGTTAGTCATGGTCGCAAATGAACTGCTCACCCGGGTAATTGGCCAGGACAAACAAAGCAGAGCAGCTAACAGCTAACAGCTAACAGCTATCAGCCATCAGATATCAGCGACGGGAGCCGATAAGTAGGCAACACTTAATGGACACTAAAAATATGGCATTGGCCGCATTTAGCACTGCCCCACTGCCTCACTGTCCCACTATCCCACTGTCCAGTGATCATCACTGTGCCTGGCAGATGCATACCCTCATCTGCAGGATCAGAAGATCTGGAAAACCGCAAGACCATTAAAAAGACTTCTCCTATGCTCTTCGGTTACGGACACATGCTAGTGGCTTCTGCGGGATTCCTCAAAACATAAATGAGAATTTTCACAGCATTTGCATATGAATGATTCACACGGCCATGCATAACAAAAGGCCATGGTTGGTTGGCCTGACTGGGCTGGGTGGTGATGGGCTTAGTGGGCGGGGCCAGGACAGATAAATAAAGTATAAAATGGGCGGATAACCCATCCCATGGTGCCCATGGTGGTAAGCAAGATGTTAACTGGAGCTTCTGTTTTAGGAGCAGAATATATATATATATAGGTGACAGACCCCTGGGTCCGCCAACACGTCCTCATCAAATATGAAAAGGCAACACAAAATTACCACCAGCAAAAGGGGGGGAAAAAGAAAGAAGAGAAAGGAAAGAAGGAACCGGAACCCAAGGAAGAGTCAGAGGAAATGAGGAACCAAACCAAACCAAACTGAACCAAAATGAAATCAAATTTTCTGCATAGGTCTGCATAAACTGGATTCAGCTCGAAAGAGCCGAGGCAAGCACAAAAAGCTGGCTGGACAGGGGGCATCAAGTACCAAATACCAGATACCTGACCTCCAACTTTCCCGCTCAGCCGCTTTCTTTATATTCTTATATTATTATTATATATACTTTTATTTATATTTTTGTTTTTTTTGTTCAAAAAGAAAACCCCTTAAACAAACTTTTCATAGCACGCACGCACTTTAAAAAAAAACCAAAAAAAAGGAACAACAACAACAACCAACTGACACAAAAATAAGGGCAGAACCAGAATCCAAACCTTGTAATTTGGTTGATTTCTATGGGCACGCGACAAAGTCTTTTCAGCACACAAAAAACTCTTTGTTGTTGTTTTGAGAATTTAGAAAATTTTGATTTTGATTTCGAATTTTTGTGTTTATTTTGAATTGAGATTTGGTATCTTTGTTTTGTATTAAGACTGTGCTTGAGTCTCAGATTTCTGATACTGCTGATGCTCTACACTTCCTCGACACTTTTCCGGTGCTCAATGCTCGGTGCTCGGTGCTCGGTTCACGGCAAACGTAACCGACTATGGCTGAACAGGAACTGAGTCGACTTGTCAGAGGACACGTTATTTTAAATCGGCCAGCGCACTGTTGCTTCTCTGTTAACTAGGCTGTTAACGTGCTGTTGCTAACAGACGGACCTGTTACTGCCTACTAGCGCACTCCGAAAGCTTTCACCGAAAAGCTTTGATGTGATTTTTGTCGGACTTCTCTGGCAAAACTGGGTTAGGAGAACATTACCATGATAACTCTCCCTCCTAGAATTCTACAATGAATAAAAAAATAGATTAAAAATCTGATTAAAAATTGTTAAAACTTTTAAAAGATTGTTAACATTCTACACTATAAGAATCCTTGTTTTTAAGGCTATTTTACTATTTTAAACAATAAATCAAAATTTAAAACAAGAACCCATTTTCTTTAGATACTTTTTATAAACTCAGCTTGAACAGCCTGCTCTTTAGCTGCGACTTGGTATTTCTATTTTTATCTAAGAAACATTCTAGAAATAAAGGAGTTCGACTTTGGACGACAATCAAAAGTAATTTCGCTTGAAAAAGAGAAAATTATAAAATACTACGGCACTGGCATTTCCACAAAAGAAGGAACTTTGACCCTCAGCCTGGCTGGCTGTATAAGTGCGGTTGAGTCTTTTGTTTTATGGAAATAACAAATTTTAATCAAATGTTGTTTACAGAGAAGGCTGAGATTTAAACTAAAATATGTACTAAATGTCCATTGAAAAATGTTTAAAAAAGAAAAATGTTTCCCAAATATAATAAATTCTAGCTTTTTTTCTTATTTTTAATATAAAGTTATAAACTTTTATAGAAAAAGTACGCACATAATTTCTAAAACTGAAACATTTTTCGTTAATAAAAATATATATAATTTAAAATATATTAAATATTCTTAATTTTTATATTAAATCACAGTAAAGGAGAGCCATCTCGCCTACTAAACAGAACTAACCTTAACCTTAACCTTAACCGCAACTTATTTCTGAGACCTTAGACCAAGATTTTGTTGATTTCTTTATGTGACAATGGCAGATGGCCAGCAGGAGCAGTCGTCGTTCTTATTGGGACGCCTGCGGAGGAGTTAAAATGCAGCTAGACTTCCGCCAGCGGCGTACAACGTTGCGTATACTCTTTATAGTATGATTGTTTCTTTTTTGTTTTCTTTTTTTTGACACTTGCAGTCGGGCCATAAATCATCATCATCAATGACAATGGCTCGCTATATCATCTGCTTCTCAGCTCCGCCCAAAAAACGCTAAAAGTGAAAACATAAAACATCTAAACATTGATGGTTCTATTACTCTTTTTCATTCTTCATGTTTTTGCCTTTTTGTTTTCTTTTTTTTTTCTTTTTTCAAGCATGTGGCTTTTGGCTGGCTGGCTTAGGTTTTCCACCTAAGACGGCTGGAGTTTCCCATCCGTTGTCATGTCCGGTTTGATGGCTTCGAGGTGGAACAGTTTGTCCTGGCATTATGGCCGCAGTCGTTAAGCTCCGACGTTACTTTGTTACCATTTCACGTTGCCAGCTCAAAGAACAGGACATCCAGGATACACGGGCATCCTGCAGACGCACATTTCTACATTTGCGAAGTTGGCACTCGCGGAAATTTTGGTTATGAGCTATATCTCTTTTCTAAGTTGAGTTACCTGTAAAGTCACTGGAAAGATAACTTTTTGAAGGTGAAATGCCATGGCGATCGAAAACCTTTCGTTGAGTTTAGTAACCAAAGCTAAGACATGTTGTAGGGTAACACTTTGGACTAGAGAGCTAGGAAAACTATACTTATAATCACAAATAATCTTTAAATACAAACTTAGAAAGGTTTTGGGATAAATTCAAGGATAAGTCACTTAAGGACTGCCACGAGGGGTAAACCTTACTGAAATTAACAAAATGTCACTGCATTTTCCCATTTGACATGCAAATTCTACCATATCCACATCAATATTCATCAATCGCAATTGAGTTTAAAAGGACAAAAAAATGATTTCCGAAAGTTTGTAAATAAATACGCGCAGCAGTCACCAAATAGTATAAAATGCAAAAAAGTTTCGAAATAAAAAATAACTTTACGCAGCAGTCAGCAAATTTTTTAACGAAACTTTTTCAGGCTGACAATAAATATTTGCAGGGAATTAAGAACTATGGTGAACTGATTCAAAAGTTGAATGAAAAGGTAATGGAAAGACTTATCTGATAAGAAAATCATAGGAAACTTATGATCCTCTTGACTTTTGAGCTTATAACGAAGTAAGTCTAAAAAAAACTGACTAAATATTAACATTAATATAAACATAACTAAGGGTATTTGCAGACTCGTTAAGCGTAGGTTATATAAACTTTTGTATTTCATAAAATTCCCCTCCATTCAAAGTCATAGGCCAGGGCAGCCGAACAATAGGATGGCGAAAACTAGTGGGCAATAACGTGCCTTTGTTTTGCCGCCTCTCCGATGCTGATAGAGGAAATAGAGTTATTCACTACTAATTAATTCACCTGCAGTTCAAAACTACTACCTGCCTGGCTGGTTGGCAGTAGTAAAAAAAAAAACAGGGAGAGAAAATAAACCCTTTTTGTTGTTGGCCAACACAAGCCCGAAGTTGTCAAAACAGTTTATATCCTTTATTCGAGCCCTCCGCTTCTGCCGGCTTACACTTTATTTATGCTCAATCATGGGGTTCGCATAACACATATTTCAAATAATATTTTATTTGTTTCCCGGGAATGGAGAATGGGGAGTCGGGAATGGGGGACACTTTCCGTTGGATTCGTTTTGTTTTTGGGTTTTTCGGACAAAAAGTTTAGAATATCCCGTCGCTATGCGATGCAATAAATCATGACCAGGTCCAGGGACATTTCAATTCCGTTTATTTTGTTTCTGTTCCAGTTGCTCCTCTCTGCCAATCTTCTTTATTGTTGTTACCAAATCAGACTTACAGGAGCTGAGTGGGTGATAGTAGGGGGTAGTAGGGAATGTCGGGGCCAAAGCGATTTGACGAGAGGGAGATAAATAAATTCAATTTTGGCAATGTAAATCAAGAACTGTTTATGGCCAAAGAGGAGGTGGAGTAAGAGTATGAGGTCCTGGGGATGATGACCTTAGGTAGGGCAGAAATGAAATTAGAAGCACAAAGCCCCAGAGAAATTCAATCAGAAACATGAATGAAGGCTATGGTCGGGTTACCGACTTTGCCATTCTCGGTACTCAATTTATTTAAGGTAAGCTCTCTGGGTCACCATTATTCCGATTTTGTCGCTTATATCGGGTATGTACTATGATATGGGAATGAATTTAAAGATAAATATAAGAGTCAAGAACAGAGTATAGAACTCTAATTCTAGATCATAGGAATATCTAGTTAACAACATTTAAATGCAAGCCAAAATAGTCTCCATTGATGAAACGCGATTGCTTCGTGCCACCATGTCGTATACGTAATTAAGTGCTTATGGTATGGCATTCGAATTGCTCGGGAAAACAGTTGGCAATTAAAGTGCAACGGGCGTGAAATGTAGTAGATGTGCTTCTGGGCGGCGCTTCCAAGTATCCAATCACGCAGCTCAGTGTTGCGTGTACTTAAGACTTTTGCATCCAGCAGGAATTCAGCCATCCTCCCTACTGCTACACGGGCTGTCTACCCGGGCTGTCATCAATCACGATTCGAACAGGAAATCGTTACAGACCCGCTAGAAAATGAATGGTGGCTGGCGGTGGATGGTAAATGTGGGCTGAAGGCCAGGTGAGACGGGCTGAAAATCGCGAAAAGATTCGAATAGTTTGCAGCGATATCGCTTGCAATCTGCTCTACTTTCACTTCCCCCACCCAACCTTTCCCCTGTGCACCTGGCCTTTTATTAGAAACCGAGGAGCAAGGAAAAAAAATAGGAGCTCAAGTTGAAAAAGTCCGCCGTCATGATGGGTGCTGCTGTGGGTGGTCCTCACTTTTATCCTTAACTCACTCCCCCCTTGATTTTGCCTATAGTTTGCTTGGCTCGTTATAAAAATAAAACAAATTCATCTAGCAAATTCAACTCAATGCGAAGATACAAATAATAATGGCTAAATGTGTCGGGGCAACCCCAATTGGTAGTGAATTGAAAGTGAATTTGCCTGATGGCCGATAACACTGCTTACTTTCCTCTAATCCTCGTAGTTAGGCTTTTATATCAGATTTCTGTTGGAAACTATGTCAACTTGTAGTGCACTTGAAAACATATTTTGATAGTTATGAATATGAAATATATTCAAAATAATAAAAGCCAAATTGTCCTAGCCATGTCCGTCTGTACAGGCAAAATGGATGAAAGGTGGGCTGCTAAGTACTTTTCATGTGTATCTTGCAGTCGCATGACTTTTCCTTAGATCCTCCTTGTTTTAATGCATATTTATTGGAATGTTAAACTTGTCATTCTACCAAAAAAAAAAAATATATATATAACCCTGTATCGTTGTCAACTTTCTCATTTTAATATCAATCCTATTTTTACTGCGCTTTTCCCAAAGTGCTTTGTCACCTGGCACACCTTCCCGGCATACAGCATCCTTCGGCTCATTTTCATATACTTTTTAGGCATTAAAGGAGCGCAACATCATGATGTACGACATGGCAGAGCGGACAATCTGGAAAGAAGGAAATGTTACACAGAAAATAATAAACTTGGATAAATATATTTTTAGGTAAACATTTTTATAGCTAAATATTCCTTCAAGAACTTTTCTGATTTGCAAGAGTTTTCTTTAACATATTAAATGTTCATTGTAATCTCTTTCAGTGTACTTTTGTGGCACGTGGCATGGCTACTCACCGTCGAGAAGGTGGCCATGCTGGCCTCGAAGAAGTATCCCTTCATCTGGCAAGGTCGTTGGGCGCGCATGGCGGCGATAAGGAGGGCACGCTTGGTGGGTGGCGAAAAATCTGTCCAGTTGCTCTCGTATAGACCATTACCAAAGTCCAGGCTGGCACTTTTGATGTTCTCCCCACATTTCGAGTAGATAAACAGAGCGATGAGCAGTGAACCCACAAAGGCGATGAAGTAGAGGCTCTGCGGATTGGGAAACAAATCTGCCACCTGGAATCCAATGAAGCAAATCTGCAGGGCCGATAGAAAGAACTGCAAAAAGATCAATGGACGATACTTGTCCGCAATGTGGTCAGCGATCTGGAGTCCCTTTTGATGCAGCAATAGCACCTGGACCAGACCCTCTAACTCCTCCTTGCCGCCCACTGCCGGCAGATGGATCATTCGGTGTTTGGCTATCTTGAAAATGGCACACACGTTGTAGGTGAAAAAGAAGAGCAGAGTGTCCACGCAGAGAGCCATAGTTACCTAATACGTAAATTACAACAGTAAAGTAGTTCCTAATGTAGTTTTCATTCCACAAATTACTTACAGCACTATAGCTGGCCATCACATTCCACAGATAGGTGGGCACATACCACACGACCACCTGGAGATCGTATGGATACACACCATTGTGCGGCAGCTCCAGATGAATCTCATCGCCGCGAATCAGGGAAATTACAAGACCCACAAAGGGCTTGATGGCCGCAAAGATTCCCGCCAGACCGAAGCAGCGGGTGTACGTTAAACTCAGCATCTGATCACTCTGATTCTCCTCAACCACGATGGCCCGGGCATCCGGCCAGACATTGATTTCTAAGGATTAGAAGTTGGTTAATAATCTTGGTTACACCAAAACCCACTCACCCTTGTCGAGAATACCTCTGATGAGGTAAATCAAACCCACGAACTCTTTGCGGTGATAACAGAAGAGCAGGAACTTGACCAGAGTCAGCATGCTGGCAAAGGTGGATCCTAGAGTGTCGGACAGCAGGCTCACCTGTGTTATGTACTCGTGGGCGGCCAGGAACATGGGCACCATGAACATGAAAAGTGGTCCCATGGTTACAAAGGTGAGCCATGGACGATCGTTGATGGTCGTGGGACTCCACAGATCAATGCCCATGCAACGGTACACAAGGATTTGGACTCGCAAGGATTGTCCCTCTTGCTTTTGCTCCTGATTCTGGTCTTGCTGTTTTCCTGGAACCTTGTCGCTCATCTTGAACTGACTGATTGCTCATACAGCCAAGTCCTGCTAGTCTAAGGTTTTTATATTCCCTGGGAGGAAGGGGCGTGGCATTGAATGTCATGTCAAAAGTACAGTCGAACTTTTATAGCTGAAAAGCGACAATTTTTTAGAATCTTTTCTATTATGATTTATATATAATACTGATTTCCTAATTAATATATATATAATATATATACATTTTTTTCCAAATATTTATTTAAATTTTAAATACTTTAAATTGCTTAAGTTAAACTTGGCAAAGTCCGAGAAAACTAATTCCGACTGTATTTATTTTTTTTTTGCCAATTGTTGGGGCGAAGGATTTGGCACTGCTTTCATTTAATATGCTTGCTTTGTGCGCGGTTTTGTGGGTTTAAGTGGGTGTGGACTTGGGTGGACTTCAAGTGCATTTATGGCTCTAATTACACGATTTTTTTTGCCTTTCGCTGCATTCTAGTTAATGCCCTTTCTCTTGGTCTTCTTGACAATCAAATGGCAGCCTTTCGTTTCCCAGGAAGTGCATTATAATTTTAATGAGTCTGCGGAGATCCGAGCAACTACATAGCTGTGGGCGTGTATTTTTAGCTCCTTAATTAGATGCGATTTGACAAAGCTGCCGTTGACATTTGATAAGGACCCTATAATTTGCCTTTAAGGAAAAGGTAAATATGTTAAACGCGCAGTATTTAATTGCCGTTGTTCTTTTTAATTAAAAGAATGCATTGGGATTTATATTAAGACAGATAGTGAAAGAGAAGTGCAAGTAAAATGACCCATTTAATACTTTTGTTTGAAATTTATATCAATTTAAGTTGCTGACTAACTTTAAAATGTATCAAAATTCGTTTCGGTTTTTAATATTTTTCTATAACAAATGCGTTTTATATTTATTAACACCTAATAAAATGACTCATGCCTTCCTATTTTAAAAATCGTAGCTACAATAAAATTGCATCATTTTAGTCGTTTTTTAAGACAAAATGTCAAAATGGGTTTTGAATTTTAAATTTTAGCGCCTAGATAATAACAATCAGAACTAGTGTTGTCTAACACACAAAAACGACCACTTATCCACGAGGTAAGAAAATTGTACTATTCAATAAATTTGAATATTTTTTAGGTGAGCATTTCTTATTTTTTAACTTTAAATAAAATATTTAAAAATTTATATAGGTTTGTTTCACCCAAGTTGGCAGTCCCAGCATGTCAAAGTGACACGAGTCATATCGATAGGCCTGCACTAATAACCTCCTGCTATCGATTACAGTTGTATAACCTCCGCTCGCAAATATTTTTTACTGGCGACTGCATCAGCTCGAAATCCGTGCAAATAAACCGTAAAGTGAGTAGAACATTCCCGCGGGGCACTCGGCCAAAGGTTCCCAGTTAATACATATAACCTTCACATTATCCCCAGAAATGTCCGGCGAGAAAGGCTTGGGTAAAATCTTCAATGGCACCACCATGAGCGGCCGTGCTAATGTAAGTAGTGCGATTTCCTGGTCATTGCCCGGCCGTAATACTAATCCGGTTGTTATGCCATCCATTTATACCCTCCAGGTGGCCAAAGCCACATACGCAGTCGTTGGCCTGCTGATCGCCTACCAGGTGCTCAAGCCCAAGAAGAAGTAGAGCTCCTCTCATCCTCCACATCCGAAGTTTTGGATCCTGGGATCAAATCTGGATTCCGGATCAGTTTATTTTATGTGTAGTGCAAGACATTGAAGGAATAAATAAGCAGAGAATGTAACACACTAAACCGCGAAGTGCATTATGTAACGATCCTTGGACTCCCACATGATTTCACGGCACCTTAATGGCGGTTCTCTTGAAAATAAGCTCGCATTACGTACTCCTCGTTTATCATATTGTTTTTAAGATCGCAACATGATTAGCTAATTAGCTTTACCAGAATTGGAACGAACATCCACAGTTGGAGCATCTCAAAGAGAAGAGTTAAGTGTCCAACCCGTTATCGCTTCATTAAAAAAAAAAACTGTTGCACATTAGGAAAAGGTTAAGGCGATAGAAGATTTGGAATTGAAAGCTATAACTCAAGAAACTGCCTAAATGAAGATCCGGGTTGATATGTTTTTCAATTTTAAATATTTGACTACAGAAATATATTTGGTTAAATCATATATTCCGATCTAGTGGCTTTATACTACAAAAACTAGGAATGTGAGTGCTTTCAGCAGATTACCTTTCACTTATAACCCAAAAGTTATTGGCCCGGCATTTTCCAAAACAGCAATGCCAGTTAGAACCTCTTCTAAAGTAAAAATTTTTATAGTATATTATAGTAAAAATTTCAGCAAATATCTCACTAAAATAATCTGAAAACGAAGAAATATTCATTCCCCATGCTAATAAATCAGCAATGCCAGATCAGAACCTTTTTATAATATCGCCGAATGGAATAAGCAGTAGTTTTCAATAGTCTAGGAACACATTTACCAAACTTCGGGTTTGATTTCCTTTTTTGGTTTTGGTTTTCGTTTTTTTAATATTTTATTTAAAGTTTTTATTTCATTTCAAACTTGCTTTAAATTTTCCTCTTTTTCGTGGGTAGGGATTTTTTTGAGGGGGCGGGGCGAGGGCGTAGCATTCGCTGGCCCAGTTTATCGAAATTTCAGTATTACTAAAAATTAATTTGAATGAATTGAATGTAAAAATGGTTTACATATATTTGTATGCATATATGCCATGTACTCGTCTCTTATCCTCTCCACAATCTACTCTTCCTCGTCGTTCCGTTTCCTGCCTAACCGTTATCGTTATCGTAATCATAATCATGCTTATGTCTGTTGCTATCCTTGTTTTGGTGGAGACGAAAAACCAGATGATGCATTTAAAATATAGGTATAAATTAATGTTTATATCATTTATCAATATGCTATATAATATACCTTTTACATGTATTGTGATAGCAAGCTTGCTTTGTTACTTTTACTCATCATTTCATTAATTTGTGTCTTCTTTCGATTTCTTTTGTTTTTTTTTTATAACTAAACATTGCCTGGCATAGCAAACTTCCCAATATTTTGGGATTTTCATATGTGGGCGTGGCTGGGGCGTATGTGAGAGAGATTGTGTTTGTATATGTCTGTGTGTGGACTAATTAATATCGCTATATGGTTTCAGATTTTATTTCGGTTTTTTCAGAAGCCTTAGCGAAAAGTGCCTTGCTTTTGGTTTCATTTTTTCTTGCATTTCTTATTTTGCATTGTTTAATTATTAATTCTACTACATTTAGATGCATAGCTCGGCGGGGTGGGGCAGGGATTTCGTAGCACCGGTTGGCTATGGGGTGCTAAGAGATCCGTGCCCAACTCCGCCGAATTTCGATCCGAGTATAATCGTATTAATTACTGTTACTGGGATATATGTGTGGGTTGTTGCATTTTCCTTAAAAATGTTTGCTGGAGTGTTTTTGTATTTCGCTTGGATTTTGCCTCTATATATATTTATGTGTGTATGTGTTTGGTTTGTTTTTTTTTGTGTAGTATATGCCATACATATCATATTCTTGTTAAGTTACAGTTACATAATGAATTACACATTTATATAAATCGTTTAAATTTCATTTTGTCTTTTCACCTCCCCACCGTTAGCATTCTACCTTGAGCATAAACGTCCTTTCTCGTTTCTGTTTTTTTTTTCAAATTACAGCAGGACTGGCGGGTTAATGGTAATCGATTAACTAATTATCGCCGGCAGCGGCCGAGGTGGCAGCACTGGCGACGTTGCCACCCGTGTGCGATTGCGCTGAACACTATTTTCAAATTTTAGTTTGGGTCCGTTTATGTTTCTCCCAGTTTTTTAGTTTGGATCAGGGTTTAGTTTAGTTTACTATATATAACAATATAGAGCCCACCGAGTACAATTTGTGACGAAAGTGTCTATTTGTTTCAGTTGTTGTTTAAAAGACGACAAGATTTCTATATGTATTTGTTTTACGTTTAAACTTAACTTTGCGCTTAAACAAACTCTTCTTCCCTCGTTCGTTCGTTCGCCTTCTCTATCTCTGTCTGTCTGTCTATGTCTGTCTCTCTCTCTGTTTGTCTGTCTCTCTCTTATTCGCTGTCAACACAGAAAGATTGATATCGATAGATATAGATAGATAGATGGTATATATAATGTATATTGTAGCATAAACATAAATTAGAATTATTAGTTGATTTTTTGTTGCAAAAAAATTAAACAATATGTATATATAAAGAAATTAAAGCATACGCAGTGCCAAATGTTCATTTTGTTTTTTTTTTAAAGGAGAAAGACTACTACAAAAAATCATAAGTATATAAAAGTAATATATTATTATGTAAATTTGTTTGACAAAAAATACACTGCTATTCTGTATGTATGTATGTATATGTAAATGTATGTATGCATGTGTGTGGTGTGTTTTTTTAAATATTTCTTCTTGCAATTAGGTATTCCTTACTCGTTTCCTGTTAAACCTTTCGTCTTCTCACTTTCGACTTACGATTATTTTCATCGCTACGGTTACCAATCGCTGATTTTACTGAGTTGCCATTTTACGGTTGTGACGGGGGAGTCCCCCAATAGCTCACTTTCCTACTCACATCGCCCCTTTTTTCGGAGGTTGGATGCCTGTGTTTCGCTTGGATGCTCGTTTAGTTTATATTCCACTTTTCTAGCTTAACTCTGTCTACGTTTATGTTCTCGGTTTGGATAAGATACATTCCACCAGCTCTTGGCTGGTCTACTCTTGTTTTTCCTCTGCCATCAATTGGTATTTCTGTGTTTTTGTTTCGGTTGTTTTCTGGTGGGTGGTGGTGGTGGTGGGTGCCTGGAGTCAACTAGATGGCGGGTGATGACCACCTAACGCTCAGTTCGCGTGCCACTCACCACGATTGCCCGCACCACCTCCTCCGGAAGCGTTATTCGCATAGAAGGGCTTTCCGGGTCCGGAGCTCGTCGCTCCACCAGCTCCTCCTCCGCCCGCTCCGCCTGGGCCGCCGTTGCCACCATTATTACCGCCGGGGGGTCCCACGGGTGTATTACTGCCACCGCCACCGGCATTTCCTGTGACTCCTCCGCCGCCACCGGTAACTTGTCGCATATTCTGAGCCCTCTGAGCCGCCGCCGCTACTGCTGCCGCCTGTTCCCTCTGCTGCTGCTGCTGTTGCTGTTGTTGTGGATGCTGTGGGTAGTTGTTGGGCCGCTGAATCGGCGTGGGATAACGTCCTTGGCCGCCGCCGCCACTCTGGCCTACGCTTCCGACGCCATTGCCTCCGCCATTTCCGCCAACCTGGGATCCACCGCCTCCTCCTCCATTTCCACTGCCGCTGCCCACCGCTCCGCTACCACGACCGCCCAGAGCGTTCATGTTTGGCCCATTGCCACCGCCACCGCCGCCCTGTCGCTGTTGTTGTTGAGATTGCTGCTGCTGCTGCAGCACCTGGTTCTGCAGATCCCACTAGAAAAATATAACAATTAAATTAGCAACAGTCGACATCAAACAGTTAAGCGGTACACTTACCGAGCCGTAATTCTTGTGGTGCGGCGGACTGGGTTGCGACTGCACCTGCTTGGCTAGACCGAGGCTCATATCAGCGCTTAGTGGACTTTTCAGTTGACGACCCATCTGCGAAAAGAAGCAGGCCAAATATGATTAGCAAATGACAATGCAAACAATAATTATTTTAATGGCTATACTTCCGAGCAATGCCCACGCATCCCATTAGCAAGGTATTTTAGGTTTCCAAAGAATAGTCTTCTTAAGAAAAACTTTAAGAAATCGTCCAAATGTAAAACTTTGAACACTCTTCATAATTTCTATTAAACTACTTAATCATAAGTTTAAACATTTAATCAATTCGACCTCCGACTGAATAATCCTAGAATTATTTTAAATATGAAATATGAATACAACTTGATACTAATGTATCAAACTTTTATTAAGTATTTCTTTTTCACATAGTTCAAGAACAATTATCTTCCTCAAAATTAATTCAAATGATCTTACTTTTAAAACTTGAAAACTTTAAACTTACATTAATGGCAGAATAGAAAGGCTAATACATTATAATACATATTTTAGAAAATTATTAGGAACAACTCAATGATAAACACATCATATAATGCCAAACTCTGGCTCCAAATCTTGATCAAACTTGATTCCACCACCTTCCATTAAGAACTTAGGTATATGGTCTTGAATTGTTTTTCTTTTCAAAGGACTAGGAAAACAGCAATATGATTAATGATATGGGATTGTGGGTGTTGGGATATAAAGTCCTTTGCTTACCGAGTCTTGCATGTGTGCCTGTCCTTGGCTGCCTTTGAGATAAGCTGCTCCGGGTGTTGGTCCACCACGGTATTGGTTAATGCTGGCCGCTGTCAGGAGCTGCGAGTTCATGAACTGCGTATTAAAGGTGCCCATCGTGTGCTGTGACTGTGGCGGGCCATTGGAGCCCGGCGGTCCGCCCTGATGGCCACCATACATGCCTGCGGCAGGTGCCAGCCCATAGCTCTGTGCTCCGCCGTTGCCTTGCGGTCCACCGTAGAACTGCGGTCCACTGGGTCCGCCGGCTGCCGAATTCGAGTAATAACTGTTCGATTGCAGCTGGTGGGCGCCCGGCGGCGGTCCACCTTGTCCGGGATGCTGCGGCGGTGGGCCAGTATAAAGATTCATGTACTGCTGGGTGGTAGCATAGGGACCTGGTCCTGGTCCTGGACCGCCACCGCTTCCCGCCGACTTCGAGCCTATAGCCCCAATGGGCTGCTGGCTGGGAGGCGGCTTAGCCGCGCCTGACGACATCATGGAGTTGCTGCTGGACGAGATTATTGCCACCGCGGCGTGGTTGCTCGGATTACTCAGCTGCTGAGAGCTCGGTTGACCGAACGGACCCGGTCCAGGACCCGGACCACCGCCCAGACGGAACTGGGATGAAAGGTTCGAGTACATGTCCGTGGGCGCGGTGGGCGGCAGACTGCCACCGTGCGGAGTCTGCATTGCATATGCGTTTACGTTGACATTGAAGGGACCGCCGCTCGCGGCCGCTACTGCCGCCGCCGCTGCTGCTGCCGCATAGTGGTTCGGGAAGCTATGGGCGGCCGCCGCCGCCGAGTAGGCGGGCGAACGGCTCGAATGATCGAGCGAATGGAATGGAGCGTACAGATTACCGCCCTGCGACGGCGGTGGCGGCGGCATTTGCGACGAGTTGAACACCACGGCCGGCGGGCTGGGGATCGTGGGAATGCCTCCAACGCCGAACTGTGGTGACGCCTGATAGAATGACGGCTGTTGCTGTTGCTGGTGTGCCTGTTGCTGCTGGTGTGCCTGCTGCTGCTGTTGGGAGTGCTGCTGCTGCTGTTGGCTGGGCGGCGGAGACATGCCTAGGTGTTGCTGCTGCTGCAACTGCTTGGTCTTCTGGTGCGCCTGCTGTTGCTGCTGGGGACTAGGGTAGTCCTCCTGCTGGAACTGCTGCTCCAACGATCCCGCGTCGAACGGCGACCCATGGCCATAGCCATGGCCATGACCTCCGGGCACCGGGCCCGGCGAGGAGAGTGCATGGTGCTGATGGTGCGCCTGTGCCTGCTGCTGCTGGTGGTGCTGCGCCTGCGCTGCCGCCACCGCTGCAGCCGCCTGCTGCTGCTGCTGCTGTTGGTGGTGGTGGCTCTGCATGTGGACCGCCGACACCGCATAATGGGGCATTTGCTGGTGTTGCTGCTGATGCTGTGAGGCGGCCACCGCAGCCACGAAGGAGGCGGCACTCATGTGGCCACTGCCATCGTCACCTGCTTGTTGCGATCCCACCACTTGCTGCTGTTGCTGCTGCTGCGTAACTACCTGTACCTGCGACTGTTGTTGCTGTTGTGGCTGCTGTTGCTGTTGCTGCTGCACTTGCGCCGGAGAAGGACCATCCGACATGGGCGTGGCCGACTCCCAGACCTTCTTCACACTGGCTATCTTCATGTTAAGATCCGCAGTCGAATTGTTTTGCTGCTGCTGTTGTTGCTGGGAGTGTTGTTGTTGCTGTTGTTGTTGGCTGGTCGTTTTATCGATGGTGTCCACCACCTTTAGGGGTGTGGTGGGATCATCGCCAAAGCTGAATCCTAGTTTCATGTCTTGGGAATCCTCGCCGGCACCAGCCGTTGTCGCCTTGCCACCAAAACTCATCTGAGAGAGTGCACTGGACAAGCTGTCCACCGTCATAGAGGGGCCGCCACTGGACACCGATAGAGTACCTGGCTTGGTAACCACGGCAGCGGCTGCTGCTTGCTGCTTGTACGTAGAGTTTTCAAAGATGATCGTGTTGACAGGTGCACCCGCGTCTAGCAGAAGATTTGTCGACGGACCAGAGCCAACAGCGCCCAGCGAGGTCTTCTCGCCAATCGCAGGCAATTTGCTGCCCGCTACCTTCTCACTGCCAACAACGGCACAGGACTCACCCTTCTTCTTGTCCACTGAGCCGGGAGCTGCGACTGACGATGATGTGGCAGTTACCGATCCCACTGCTGATCCCGCTGCTGATAGACCGGGAGGCAGACGACCCGCCGCATCTTTCTGCAACTCATCTTTTGCTAACAGGGCAGTGTTGTGGGCGGGAGTCAGAGTAACAGTCTTGTCCTTCTCCTCGCCGCTGAGCGCAGACGAATCCTTATCATCCTTGCTTGGTTTGTGCAGGCCGGCGCTGAGTGCCAGCTGGTTCTGCTTGGTCTTGTCCAGATCCGCGTCGGATTCGGAGGTGCGCTGTTGCTTGCCATATTCTTCGTAGCCAAGTCTACCATAGGTGCGACCAGCTCCACCCGATCCCGAACCTCCAGTCGAGCCAGTGCCCACGGGTTGACGGCGATAGCCTGAAGCGGAGCCACCTCCTCCGCTAGAGAGACCACCTCTTCCACGTCTTGAGGGTTCGCCACGGGGTGAGAAACCCGCCTTGTTGGCCGCTGCCTGACCGGCATTCGATGCACTGCTACCAGCTTCTTTGGGGCTGCGACGCGCTGCTCCTCCGGCTCCGCCTCCACTGCTGCTGTAGCAGTCCTCGTCGACATCCTCGGAGTGCTCTGATTGCTCACCTCCACTGCCGTAGTAGCGTCTGCCACTGCCGCCACTGCCACGGCTGCTACCCCAGTCGCTGGCGGTCCTCTGGCTCCGATAGCTGCCTGAACCGACAGCGGATCCGCTACTGCCGCTGGTATAACTGCGACCACCACGACCTCCACTTCCGCATGCCGCTCCGCTTCTTGGGCTAGGCCGCTTATTACCAGACTTCTCCTCTTCCACCTTTCCAGCCGCTGCCTTCGCCTTATCATCAGATTCTAATGCAGACTTGTCGTCCAAGCGCTCGTCTACGGGCTTTTCGATCTCCACGCTGCGTCGCAGAATCTGCGTGGGCATGGGCTCAGTCGTCAGCGTCTTCTGCTGCTGTGGAGAGGCGGGCAGCTGTTTTTGCTGGGTTGACGACTCCTCACTAAGGCTCGGCTGTCGGGCCGGCCGCTGCAGAATCTTTATTTGCACCGCCGAGTCGTGGCTGTGGGTCGAAGAAAAGCTCTCCTCGCGGTGCCGATGATGCACCTTCTGTTCGGCATCCGTTTGCTCTGCCCACGAGGAGCAAGATCCACTTCCACCGCCCAAAACATCATCACCAGCCGATGAAACGCTGGTCTTACGATGAGAGTTCTCAGATATGCTGCGCGGCAAAACTTGCGCCTGACGGTAGTCTTGGCCTCGAGTAAACCTCTGCTGCTGCTGTTCCAACTCTTGTTCCTCTCGAGCACTGCTGCTGTCGTGCCGATTTCGCCCATATCCACCACCACCGCTGCCACCGACGCTGGCACCACGCTGCGCATAGCCGCCGGAGATGCTTCGACCTTGTCCAGCATTAGCCTGCGCTCCCCCACTCGCGCCTCCTCCTCCGCTTACTCCGCCCTTTTGCAGATAGCGGGAATTGCTGTCGAATGCGCTGCTAGCCGAGGCGCTCTTCTCCAAGCGTGGCAGCTGCTGTTGTTGTTGTTGCTGCTGACGTTGGAAGCGAGGTGGTAAATTTGATTGGAAATGGGTGAGGAAGGTCTTTTGACCATAGTCGCCGCCTGCCGACGAAGATGAGGATACGCCTCCACCGCCGCCACCAGCTCCTCCCGTAGGAGTGACGCCGCTGCCCAGGCTCGAGATGCTTCCCCGAGGCCTTCGGTGCAGACCGCTGCCGCCGCTTTGGCCTCCACCCTCATCTTCGCTAACATTACCCAATGGAGCGGACGAAGGTGGAACCTCATTGGTCAACGATGTGGAGCCAGAGGATGATAGGGCTGTTCCTTCTGCTCCTGCCAAGGCTGCTGCTGCCGCCTTTTTGCTATTCATCTTCATTTCTAGTTCTTGCAACTTTTTGGCAGCCGCCTGCTTACGTTCCATCTCGCGACGTTCTTCCTCCTCCTTGCGCTGCTTTACACGTTCATAAACACTGGCATCCAAAGCAATTCCACCGGCTACTGGCGCTCCCACATTGCCAGAGCTATTTCGATGACCGTTCTGTTGGCGGATCTCCTGCTGCTGCTGGAGCTGCTGTTGATCCTGAATAGCTTCCGATGGCTGTTCGCGCTCGGTGCTCTCCTTGCCGCGTTGCCAACTGGCTGTCGAGGCGGACAGCTTGCGTTGATCGTTTCCAACCAATACTGAGGAGGATCCTTGCTGGGCAGAACCGTGCTGCTTACCCTGCCCTTGGTGCTCCTCCGGCGTGGACTCGTCATCTGAGAATGTTAGTTTCTTGGTGTAGTCAATGTCGTCCTGCTTGGTCCAGCTATCGTCCTTGGCGATGGCGTTTAGACGCTCCAAATCCTCTTCGCGGATGATGGGACGCTGCATCTGAGCCACCTCAGGCTCCACCACGTAGTCCTTATCCTTGCGTCCGGCTCCACCGCCTCCTCCATTGGCCTGCTGCTGCTGGGATTGAGGTGGCGTCGGAGATCCTCCTATGCCTAGTCCAGATTGCGGAGGCGATGAAGAAGCCGGTGGTCGCTTGGGAATAATAGTGGCCGCCCGAAATCCGCCGCTTCCCACTACAGCAGGCGAAGAGGAACGAGCTCCTAGAATGCCGTTTTGGTAGGGAGCGCTGGGCATAGCGGTGGAGTCCAAAGATCCGCCGGCCAAGATGCTGGCTGCAGTCGCTCCAGTTGCAGGCAGCGGAGCACCGCTGCGCATGAACGAGGGCATTAGCGAAAGGATGGGCAGGGGCACAGCTCCACCCGAACCTCCTCCTCCCCCGCCATTTCCACCCATCTGGTGGTGGACCGGGCCCTGTAGGTTGAGACCCTGGTCCGCTGCCGCAGCTGCTGCCACCTTGGCCGCCTTCTCTTGCTGCTGCAGCCAAGCTGCCGTGTCGTTCTGTGGACGAAGACTGAGCTCGCCCAGCTCCGCGGACCCGCCGCCGACGTCGTCGCTGCCATCTCTGTAGTCGCGATGAGAGTGGTGTCCATACTGGCGCCCGTGGCCATGGTGGTAGTCCCGATGGTGCTGTTGCTGCTGGTGGTGGTGCTGTTGATGCTGCTGGTGGTGCTGCTGATGCTGGTGGTGGTTTTGGTGGCCGGCATGGTGTGCCTGGTTCTGGTAATGGTTCTTGCCCGCTCCAGGCCCGGATCCTACACCCGTCCCCGATCCGCCGGCGGCGCCGCTGCCAACTGTGCCGTCCAGCGTGGGAAACTCGTACTGAAACTGGGGACTCTGGTAATGGGGAACCACTTGCTGCTGCTGGCGGCCAAAGTGCTGACCGCCCGAGCCCCGCTCGTGTCCTGTGGTAATGGCAGACCATGTCTTGGGTGAGTTGACTGAGTGTCCACCCGATCCAGACCCTGATCCTCCTCCTGGTCCTGCTGAGCCGCCGCCGCCCGAACCTCCTGCTCCTCCGCCGCCGGAGCTGCCCACGGAGTTGTTGATTAATTTAAAGTTCTTATTGCCGCTGCCTGATCCGCCGGCGTTGTTGTTGATGCTACTGTTGCTGTTGACAAACTTTCCGGCGTTCGGACCAAGACCGACGTTGTTATTGTGCTGGTGCTGGCTGTGAGCTTGCTGCTGCGTATGATGGCCGCCAGCAGATGACGACGCAGATCCTCCTCCGCCTGATCCCGCTCCGCCGCCTGATCCTGAACTTCCGCTGTGGGCAGTGGTGTTGTTGTGGCTAGTATTGGTTCCTGCCGCGCCTGCTCCAGCTGCTCCGCCTGAGCCCGCTCCTCCAGATGTGGCTCCTAAAGTGGGAAATATAGTCAGTTAAATAGATGTATAACCCCCATATCGATCTATGATCTATGATCACTCACCTTCAACTGAGACTAGGAGATTGTTGTTGCTGCTGGTGTGGGTCTCGGCCTTCAGGGATGGCAAATTGGCTGGTGGTCGCCTAGCGGACGGCACTTTGCCCAAGATTTGCATTCCATGTTTACGTGGCACTTGATTCTTTTGTGCAGATGGTTCACTCGATTCGCCCTGAGAATAAAGATAAGTTTAGTGAGCAAATAAGTAAGGATCAATATAAATATAGATCTGGATATAGGTGCTCTACTTACGCGGCTATTCTTGTACATGCGATTTATATCCAACGCTGTGAATTTGGGCTTGGCATTTCGCTCTCCCCTACTTCCCCCCAGTGTACTCATGCTGCCAATAGATCCTCATTAGCGTTAGCTTCCTTCTCGCCGCCGCCGCGCTCCTCTTCTTCACGCTGCGCTGGAGGATGGGCTAGGATGTAGCTGTGGCTTTTTATGAGGATGGGGATAAGGTGCTGGGATCGCCGCTCTTGGGCCGGAGCTTCTTGTATCAGTCTTTTTAGTGGGCTGCAACAAAATAACAAATAAAAGAAATTATACGGTTAAAATTTAGTACAAGTGCAAGCTAGGCGGTATAAGTCGAGTGCTCCCCAGAATTTGTTTACTGCACTTTTGGCTTTTGTTTTCTGTTTTGGTATGCTTGCCTTTAGGAACTCCACTATTTAGCCACCCCCGACCGATCCGCACCACTATTTATTGTGACCAGGTGCGGATCTAAAGTATAATAATAAGGGTGTTTCTTTTTGTTTTTTTAGAAATATGTGAATGGATTCGAAAATATTTCAATACTAAAATAAGAAATTTATTATGTTAAATTTAAAAAAATGTTTTTTTAATCAAAGGGTATAGAACGAACTTGTTTGAGAATTAAAAATAAAGCTTTAAATTATGGAACCTAACCTGTGTCGAGGAAAGCTACAGTAATTCTCTGAAATTTCAATGCAGTTTAATTTCTGAAACATCAGTCGACTTTGCCAATTTATAAACAAACAATATGTATCTATTAAATTACAACTGTTCGTAGAATCAATTGGAGTTTTGTTGATATTGCGTTTATTACGAAAACGTTTGGGGGCAACTATTCCCAGCGGTCCCCTCGATCCGCCCCTGAGTAAACCAATGTTTGGTGCGAGCAAGACGGCCAGTGGCTTCGAGCAAACGCAACTGAGAGGCTGCCCAAGCTGGACGGTAGTGGGAGCGAGATGGCTAGTCGGGTCTGCCCACACAAGCAAACACACATCAGCGGCAGAAGCGGCAACGCATTGAAAGAATTTTTGCGGTGGCGTCTTGTAATTATTTTTGGGAGGGGGCGTGGAGGGCCGGACGAACAATGGCTGACAACTACAGCAACAACAGAAACGGGGCCAGTAATATCCTCCCAACAACAACAACAGTGACCGGTATAGGGCATTTAAAATGCAAGCAATTTGACTGATGTAAGTGTGGGAATACAAGCAATCTAAACGCTTGGCAACAATTCTTTTTCTCCTTTTTGTAATAACAACCATTCACAAGCACAACGCACACTAACACCAGCATAAAAACACTCACACACACAGGAACAAATAGAGAGCGAGAGGCTTTGATAGTTATTATTTAATCGACGAGTGCAATTTTCTTTCAATTTTTATTTTACAGCCAAGTCCTTTTATTTATGTTTGCATGTGCATGTATGTGCACGGTGGCTGGCAAAAGCAAACAAAGAGAAGAGAAGAGTAAAATATACCGTTTAAACACCACTCACGCACACAGCCACACACTCGGGGAGTTTCGTTTGTTGGGTAGCGATGATAAACTGAATGGAAAACGCTCAAATTTGTTTACTTCGAATGTTTCGCGGTTTATTGATACACTTGACCGCCTGTCTATTGGATATTTGAATGCGCTTGACCGTTTAAATTCGAATTAAGTTAGCACTTTTAATTCTGATTTCCACCTTCCAACGTAAAGTTTGCCGCTGCTTCTTCTTCGTCGAGTTCTTCCTCTTCCACTTCGCACTTTTCGCATGTATTGCGTGCGTGTGAGTGGTGTGGAAGCACGGTGTTGCCACCCGGGCAAAATAGCACAGCTAGCCAGACCGGCGACAGAATTAATGCGGGGGTGGCAGGCCAGAAAACACCTGGCAATTATTAAACAATTAGTAAGCCTTTGCTCAGCATGATATTTGCTGATTAAACACAAATTCACTGAAACTTCTGGAGTATATGATGACAAAAAAAACGGATAACAAAAACCGACCGTCTCTAAATGCAACGCTGTTTGCGGGAGAGAGCGAGATGACAGGAGGTGCTGTGTTCCGTTCGGTCCCCCTTGCACACAGCGAATTACACAAAGCCAGCAAAAGTATTTTTCTATTTAACATATTTTTCTAGTGAAAACAGCCGTTAGGCCAATAAACGCGCTGTAAAATGAACCAGAAATTATAATTCCTTGTGACGAAAATCTCGATTCCGGCCTGAGAATCGGTCAGCGCCTAGAGCGAGAGCGAGAATATAAGAATATAGATCTTACCTTTTCGCACGCAGAGCACACACCGCAAACACAGTTCGTTGCTCCTTGGCTTCTTTCTTTCCTTCGCCTTTTTTTGCACTCTTTCTGGCGCTTACTCAGCGCCTGTTTCGCCGCTTGCGAAAATACGGAACGAAAACAAAAAGAGAGTGCAACCGATGGCAGCGAGACGTTGCTTTGTTGTTGTTATTCGGCAGTTGGCAGTCGTCTTTGTTCGCCAGAATCTTCGATTTGGTTGAATTTCGATTTGGTTGCGATTTTCGCTATGTTGCGCTGGCTTTGTCAGAGCACTCGCTCGCACTCACTGGCACTCCGCTCTACTCTCCGCTCACACGCGCCGTCTCTCTCGCGCTCTGTCGCTTTTTGCAAGTGTAGATGGAAAAGGTCTAAGTGCTCGGCTCCGATTCCGAAACCCGTTTGAATCACTTTTCACACGTTTAGATCTTATTTCGCTGTATTTTTGTACGCACACGGACCGTACTGCACGTCACACTTTATTAGGTTTTGATTATTTGCGTTGCGTTCTTTTCACGTAATACGTAATTGTCCATTAGTTTTTAATCGTATGTATTATTTTTTGCCATTTTGCGGCGAGCATTGCCAGATGTGAGTGGTTGCTCCGCAATGTTGCCCAACCGTGAGGAATCTGCTATCGTTATCGGTAGGTGTGGAAATACCGCCACAATTACCACACCTAATGTGGAGTTTTGCCGTTGGAGATAAAAGAATTTTGCTTCCTAGTGGCTTTTCCACTAGAATTAATTTCTTTCCTATAGTTTATTATTCTTATTTATTTTACTATAATTTGTATTATTTAGTTAGTGCATCATAAATGTTATATATTTCCAAAGAACGATTATATATTTGAAAAGTTGAAAGTTTGGAACTTCAAGCTCGATAACACCTTTTTAAATACAAAATGAATCTATATTTGCACATATTCTATTGATAGACCTCGAAAATATGACTTTTCCGCAAACAAATTGCATTCTTTTTTAATGTTTTTATTGCTTTCCTAGTGCTAGCTTGAGAAAGATTTCCTGAGTACTTTATACCAGAGTATGTAATAGATTATCAAATATGCAGGTATAATACTATTGAATGACACAAAATTAAATTAAGCACGCATTCAGTTCCCAATATTGTGCATAATATGAACTCAGCTTTGAATTTAGCGGATATTTGAATATTTTACTTTTAAATTATGATGGTTGTAAGTATTTAAGCTCTTTTAGTATCTGGTAACACTGTTGTTTACAGCAACGAAAAATTGTTTAAATATATTATTTCTTTGATTTTACGTTGTGATTATTTATTTGTGCGATTCGATTCGTACAAGATGATTTGTCGCTTGTGCCTGCGGTGTCTTAGTCCCGGCAGCGCCGTCTTCCTTTTCGAGACGGATGATACGCTGGCGGAGACGCGCTTGGTTAAGATGATCGCCAAGTTTCTGCAGCTGGAGGTATGTGGATCCTTGAGATTTACAATGAAGGATCAATATGGAATGATGCCACCTTACAGATCCTGCCCGATGACGGTATCTCGACTAGCGTCTGCACCGACTGCTGCGAGCACTTAGAGGACTTTAACGGTTTCTGGCAGTTGGTGGAACAGAAACAGTGTTCGCTGAAGAAAGAATTCCTCACCGTGGACGTTGACTGTGTGGCGATTAAATGGACGGGTGGTGTAGATGTAGACGTCAACATCGACGAGCTGCCGCTGGCGGCTGGCGACATGGATGAAAAGCCACTGGACCTGCACAACCTCAGTCTGCTGGGCAGCGTATTGGACGTAAATGTGGACAGTGTAGACGTTAGGGAGCAGGTCAAGGAACAGCTGACCTGCGAGTCCGAGAAAGAGGACGAAAAGCCCTGCCTGCAGGCCAGTGACAGCGAGACGGAGCCGCCTGAGACGCAGTTAGAAGACGACTCTTCGGATGGTGGTTACCCTTTTGTTTCCTAAGGATTCTCCATAACTAATTCACTGTTCCCTTGAAGATGAGCCCCTGGTCCGTCTGCAAACCAAGATGAAACCAAAACGCAAGGTCTCGGGTCGTTCCTCTAAGGATGAGGGTCCTGTTTCTCTGCATCGCGAGCTCGCCGACCTACTCGACGATGGCTGCAAGCGTCGACGCAGAAAGGCATCTGGCCAGCGAGCACCCACCGAAGTGCAAGAATCCGAGCTGCAGGCCGTCCTTGAGCGCAAGCCCAAGGGTTGCTCGCGCGCTCAGCTAGCCAAAAGCTACGAGGAGGCCATTGCCAGCTACATGAGCGCCAACTGCGATCTGTGCGATTTCAGCGCTCCTTACCTGTCTGAGCTAAAGACGCACTTTCTGGAGGCGCATCAACGCGAGTACTACATAAAATGTTGTGGCAAAATCTTCACGCGCGCTTCCAAGCTGATGGACCACATCCGCAAACATGTTAACCCCAAGTTATTCACGTGAGTCATTCACAGGATTTGGTTCTATAGATTGCTTTATATATTTTTAACTCCCGATAGCTGCACCATTTGTCAAAAGTCGCTGAACTCGCAGGACTACCTGGCCACCCACATCGAGACTGTGCACAACAAGGTCGCCCAGATAGACAAGGTGCTCAAGTTCCCCTGCCCCAAGTGCGAGCGCACCTTCAGTAGCGAACGTCGAATGGCCAATCACTTAGCCAAGCACGACACCGACCAACTGGAACACACCTGCGAAATCTGCTGCAAAAGGTAAGGATAGTGAAAAGGATTTTCCAAGTTGTACGTGACCTAATGGGCCTATATCTGAGCACAATTATCAGCTTTGTACTAATTTCGGGGAGTGATTGATTAGTAATCTTTTTGGTTGTAGTGGATGTAATCTTGATTACCAAAGTCTTAGCAAGAACATTAGCACTCGTTTGAATGTTAAATAGTCATGATTTATGTGACATAGAGTAACGTATGTCTAAGGTTTAACTTTCTTATGTAATTTTTTTTAAAAGGGGAAAAGCTTAAATGGCAAACGCTTTCAAAAGTAATTATTAACTTTGCTAAAACTTTAAAGCTATATGGTTAAATGGTCTCTAAATGATTTCCTTGCACATAAATGAAAGGGATAGCTGCATAAGTTGTTTTTAGTGATACTTCAATTTAAAGCAAATTTATAAATTGTAAACAATTTCCATTCTGCTATTCTGCTATTATATATCGTATTAAATGTATTTATAAAAAAAGGAACGGAGAAAGGATTAACTGCCTAAGAATCATTTAACGAATTTATCCCAAATTCTTCAGCTTTATTTATCCTTAATGTTTCTGTCTGAAGATTCCTGAATGAATATTCCTTGGCTGATACTCTATTATAAAAAAAATAAAATGCAGCTAGACCTTCTATCTATCCTATGTATAAGTTTTGTTATTTAAATCTAGTAAAATTGATTTCCTCGTTGTTGGTTTGTTACAGCTTTGCCAATATACACAGGCTACGGCGGCACATCCAATCCATCCATGAGGACCTGCACCGTCATGTTTGCGATATCTGCGGCAAGAAGTTTAAGTTTAAGCCCTCCTTTGAGCGTCATTTGCTGGAGCATCAGGGTGTGGTGGCGCCGGCAGTGGAGTGTCCAGTGTGCGGAGTGTGGCTGAAGAACGAGCATAGCTTACGCCTTCACCGCTTTACACACGACAGCACAGACACTGTGTGTCCGCACTGCGGCAAGACATGTACCTCACGTACTGCGCTCCGGGGTCATGTGAAATATGCCCATAAGTTGACCACCAATCTGCAGTGCACGTTTTGCGAGAAAACCTTCAAGCAACAGCGCAACCTGGACGAGCACATGGCCATCCATACGGGCCTGCAGCTGTACAACTGCCCGCATTGCCCGAAGGAGTGCCGCTCCCGCTCTAACATGTACGTCCACATCAAGCAGCGGCATGCGGACGAATGGCTTCGCGCCAAGATGGCGCGTTCGCACAATCCCCAATTCAAGCCGGGATCCACCGACGTTTAATCCTGAACCTGCACAAATATGTCTAACCATTATACATATAATTAACTATATTTCACTGTTTGTTCTTTGTGGATTTTGTTTCAGAGTTCCCTATTTCAGATTCTGGGCAAGGAAAATACGTCGAAAAGATTTTATTGGAGATCTATATCATAACTAAATGATAATGATAATCCTTAAGTTACGTAACACAATTTAAATGGTTAACGATGTGGGTAAGATTGGTGATAGCTCCGTATATCGATCAGATGGGCAGGAGATTGGCGAGCAAGGATGTTAGCTTCTTGGGTATTGTATCTGGGAATTTGATGTCGAAACTAACGATGATATCGCCCCGACGCGAGTTGTTCTTGGGCCAAGGGAGTCCGTAGCCCGGGAAGCGGCGCGTGGAATTTGGCTCGAGAACCTCGCCTTTGGTGCTGAGCTCCAGTGACTTGCCTTTGAGCGTTTTCACTACCAGGGTGGTCCCGCACAGCGCCTCCTTTAACGAGATGTGAGCCGTGTAAAGCAAGTCGCTGCCATCTCGGCGGAAGATCGGATGAGGTTTGTCCCGAATAACAAACACGATGTCGGCCGGAACACGGTTCGGTAGCTGGTCGCCTTCTTCGCTGAAGATGATCTTGGTGCCAGCCTTCCAGCCTGGACGGATATCGATATTTAGGAACTTGTCCTCTCGAATTTGTGAACCATTAGAAGACAACGAGAGCCGAGAAATCTTTATGCGCTTTAAACACCCATTGGCGATGTCCTCCAATGCGACTTCCAGATTGTGTTCAATGGGCGGATCCTTCTGAAGTCTTCCGCGATGCAATCCTGCCGCTCCGAAAGCGCCGTCAGCACCCGTCTCCAAGTCGTCGAAGAACATTGAAAAAGGATCACTAGAACCAAAAAACTGCGCAAAAGTGGCGCGTGCATCACCATGGAACTGATAGCTAAAGTCTCTGGATTCCATTCCGCCGTTGGGTTTACGACGCTGGTAGGGTACGCCTCGCCGAAGACCCTCCTCACCCTGCGAGTCGTAAATGTCGCGCTTTTTCTTGTCCGACAGGACCTCATACGCCTCTGCCACCTCCTTGAAACGCTCCTCGGATTCTGCATCCTTGTTCTTGTCCGGATGGTAACGCAGAGCCTGCTTGCGGTATGCCTTACGAATCTCCTCGTCGTTTGCACCGCGACTAATTCCCAGTATATTGTAAAAGTCCTTGGCCATGGCTCCTTTCCCCAACCGTCTCCGTTTTAATCGAAATATGTAATCTGAAATATTTTTAGAAGTTTTAGAAACTTTTACAAAAGTCCTAACAAATATGTATAACGTATTGCTGAGTTCGACTATCGAATTTAAGCAGCAATGTCTATGGTAACATCGTAAATTTTTTAGAATTAATTTGTTATTTTGCCATTTAAAACAATTTCGCTTTGGAACTCAAAAAATATGTATGTACCTAAGAACTAATAAACTTAGCTGAGCTTTGCTTAAATTAGTTTATGGGTTTGGTTAACATTACAATATAAAAAGCAAGTTCTTATTATATTATGGGTTTATGGTTCTTTTAAGGAAGTGTTATAATAAGGAATACAAGGTATAAGACAGGTGTAGAAGTATGATTATGTAAAAACATATTGTACGTATATTCAAATCTATTAAATATAAAATACATATTTGTTAAGCTAAATAAATGTGTACGGTTTAGCCAAATTGAACATCTTTTCGCGTTTTAAATTTAATTGCATTTACCAAAGTTCTATTCGTTATTAAAGATTAATCCTTAGAAAATTTATTTGATAAATCCAAAAAAAAAACACCCAAATTTGAGAGTTTCAACTAGAGCGCCAATTTAACTTTCGGTTGTATATCAGCACAGGGCCTAAACTTCTTTTAGTTAAGTGGTAAATCTGGTGTAAACAATAAAAAGTTTATACAAAATTTCGAAGAAGTGTGGAAACTTGTCAGCTTTAAAAAAGGCTATATCGACGAGGTATAAATTTGTATGTTACAATTTCTGTTTTAACAATTTAATAGTTTGATATTGATAGTTGATAGTTTTGGAATAAGGTATTAGGCAGTAAAATTTTAAGATTATTGATATAGAAGAAGCCAGTTAGGTTTAAATTGAGAGTTTAAAAATCAAGGGCATAATTTCAAATACCGTTTTCTATTCGATATGTTTAAACTTCAAAACGGTCGATAGACTATAGCAATGGTCACCCTAAAAGGATTGATAACCTAAGCGGCAAAGACGATCGACTGTCGCTCATCACTGGCGGCGTCGAACGGTCATACAGTTAGCGAAATTAATCCAAACCAAACCAGAGCGAATTAATTGTCAACAGGGTTTCAGTGTCGTTAAAAAGGCTAAGTTGTGATAGAAAGCAGTAGCACAGCTAGTGCAGGTGAGTGTCAACTGTCAAAGAAGACATAATCCGTTCCGTTGGAAATGATTTAAATATCAAGATGTGCAAATATTCAGCTGGGCCCGGTTCGCCATAGAAATTCGCAAGGCGTCGCATATATAATTTTTGTATTTTTTCTTTTTTGGCTGTCTGGCGCAGACAGCCACAACAACTACAACTAATGGCCTGGCAACAAGAGTTGCAGCCGCTAACACCCATACGAATGCAGAGAGCAGCTTTTGGGAATTTTAGCAAATATGCATAAGTGTGTGTGGGGGTTTGCAGCATAACTAGTTTTCTCCTGCGAATCCTCCACTAAAAGAGAGAGAGTGACAGAGAGAGGGACAGCTGGCAGATGCAAGATGCTTTATGTCCGTGTTTCGCGCATACCTGCACACAGTTGCAGTAAAGTTACTCTCTCTCTGGACTTTTGTGTGTCTACCTCGAGGAGGAAAATTTTCATCACTTGCCGGCCGGTTTTTCATCTCTCCTCTCTGCTCTCCACTTTTCCGGACAGTTTTCCTCCCGCTCAGCGATCGCTTAAATGGTCACCATGGAGAACAGCGACGAGATCCTGCAGATCCTCGAGCGTTTCACACGGCTCAAGCAAAAGGAGATACCCAAGGAGCTGGAGGATTATCTACAGTATGTGGCTAAAACCGGGGACACCATCTTCAAGTGGTCCAGTTTGAAGTATCTGTTCCGCGAGAAGCTACTCAGCGTGATCAAGCACTTCAACGAGGATTCGCCACGTCTGGAGGGTGAGTTTTGTGTCTTTGAACATTGGATTTCCTTTTTGGAAGGGATTTGAATCGGTTTTTTTTTTAACTGTTAACTCTCAGAAGCCATTTTATAGATAGGAATTCTAGGAAAAACTATTTCAGTTTTAAGATTTTAACACTAAAAAATATAGGCATTTTAAGCCTTGACAACTAACTTCACATAGTTGGTTTTACTCCCTAAATTACTTAAGGGTTCAAACGTCTTATAAAGTTTTAAAGTTAAAAAGTGTGCTTAATGTTGTGTTATTTATTTTGTTGTAGTTTTATGTAATCATAATGTTATTTATGTTTCTTTATCCAATTTATAGAGATCCCCAATTACCCAAATGTAGATCCTTTCAACTACGAGACCATGAAGTCCTCGTTGCTCGAGCGCCTGGATCTCTTCAATGCAGCTCCATTCACTGTGCAGCGTCTGTGCGAGTTGTTGATCGATCCCCGCAAGCAATACTCGCGCATCGACAAGTTTATGCGTGCTCTGGAAAAGAATATTCTAGGTAAGTGATATTGTCCCTATGATGGGTTAGGAACACTAATTAAATCAATCTAATCTAACAGTGGTCAGCACCATCGATCCGGGACGTAGGCGGACCGAAAGCGAGAATGGCGACTCTTTAGATTCGGTTGTCAACGGCGACCTTTCTTTGGAGGTCAACATTGACATTGAGATGGAGAACGAGGCCCTGTTTAATAATGGCAACGCCGAGGAGGGCTCTGCTCCCAGTACCGGTTCGGCAAGCGGTACTCAGAAGGCCAGCTGTCCGCGATCGGACGACAATGTCCAGCCTAAGGCGAAGAAGGCCAAGCTGGAGATCGATGGCGAAGATCGCACAGATGCGTCCGATGAAGTGTCCGGCGAACCTGAATCGGATGTGTCTAAGGCCAAAAAGGACAAGGAAGAGAAAAGTGACAACGATGAGACTGATTCCCCACAAGAGGCTGCCGAAATCGAGGAGCCTGACGAGGAGGTGGACGACGCTGACCAAGAGACCAAGGCCACAAAACAGGCTGTGAATGGCAGCAAGAAGACGAGCGAGAGGGACGAAAGATCGCCAGCTTCTGTCGATGAGGAGGCGGAGGACCCAATTCCAAGTAAATCATCAGATACCGAGGAAGCACCAGCTCCCAAGGAGAAAGCTGATGAGGAGGAAAAGGAGGGGTCCGAATCACAGGAAAAGATTGCAAAGAAGCAAGAGGATGAAAAGATTGAAAAGTCTGACGAAAAGGTGGATGACGAGAAGCAGGCTGTTGAGAAGGTCAAACCCGCAGTTGAGGGTGAAAATGAGGAGCCCTCTAAAGCCAAGGCAGATAAGGAGAGTGAGGAGGAAAAATCTGCTTCAGTTGTGGCCGATAAGGTGGAAGAAAAGGACGATGCAAAGAATGAGCCGCCTGTACCGGCAGAAAAGGTCGCTGATGAGAAGGCAGTTTCCGATGAATCAAAACCGAAGACCAAGACCGAGGCCAAGCCAGAGGCCGAGGCCAAGGAGAGCCAACCCGAAAAGACTGAATCTGAGCTGGCTAAGGAGCCGGTGTCGGAGGAAAAGGAAGCTGTCGAGCCGACAGCAGGAGTCGAGAAGAAGAAAGACGACGAGACCAATGCCAAAGTGGCTGAGGCAGTTAAAGAAGCACTCGAAGAGTCACAGGAAGCTTCCAGTCCCGTTGTCGAAGATTTGGCTGCCGCCACCACACCACAATCTCCTTTGGGCGCTGCCGACTCTGCTGCCGAAACGCCGCCCGCCGAGGTAGCCGACGATTCGCAGGCTTCGCCTTTAGCCGCTGTTACTCCGCCGGCTCTGGCGCTTAACGACCAGCCCATGGAAGACACTCCGGTTGAGGAGGAGGCACGCGTCTCGCCCTCAGCCGCCGTCGAGGAGGTTGTCATGGCCGAAAGCGGTTCGGCCGCCGAAATGGCTACCGAAGAGGCCACCAAGGACGAACCGGCTGCAATGGAGGTCGATGACACCAGCCAGGAGGTGATGGACCAGTAAACTGCAACCATCAAAGCGCCGAATACAACTACATTCAACTACTACTCCATATAACTAGAATCGTAAGACAAAGCGCCCCATTCCGCAAGTAATAAAGATGTAACCCTGCCCCGCTCAGCCTCCGGATACGAATTATAAATCCGAGTGATCATCCGAAAGGAGGAGGCGCGGTAGCAGCTCTCCCTTTGTAGCCGTAAGTCGCAGCCCAGGCAAGCTCAAACACTAGACTCTGTTGACTAATTCATGTTTCGTAATCTGTGTGACCACCCGATTCGCCGCCCTCACCGTATATTTTGTGTATTTATATATATTTTTAGATAAATCCCAATAAATTCCCTAGTATCTCTGTCCACGATCCCTTCTCCGTTCCTCGTGTATTTTTTTTAATAATCTAGTAGTAGACGCTGTTTCTGGTGCGATTATCGGCCAGTTGTGAGCGATTAAACACACAATAAACACTATCCATACGAATACGTCGAAGGTGTTATCCTTGATGCATGGGTTGTGGGTTTTCTTTTAATATGTTTTCAGTCTTATATCGATGGTTGGCTTGATTAGGTTAGATCAAGCTTTTATTTTAGAAAAACGCATTATGGAAGTAAATATATTTAAAATTGTTTCAGGTTGAGGATCATCTATGGAATCGCTGGAATATCTAAAGGTGATCCTTTATGCAAAATAGTACTGTCCAAGGCAGTACAAGAGGTATTTTCTTTTATAATTGACAATAATATATTTTATATAATTTTAACCTATATAGTTGAAATAACCAACGGAATCGGACAACTACTGGTCAAAATTTTATTAGGTTTGCATTTCTATAGTTCTAAGAAAAGGCTGAATGGAATATCTATTCTTTTTGGTTTCACTAGTTTTTGTTACTAACTCAATTAGTGGGTCTTGATAAGGTGGTTGGACTGCATTCGCAGACAAAGGCACTCAACTACTGCAATCTTTCATATATAGGTATATAGAGTATATATATCACCGAATGCTTTGTAAGCCACTTGAATCCTTTTTACTGCCCAGTGAAAGCCAGCCAGAGTTTCTTTGGTATAGATTGTGTAAGTGTGGATAACAACAAGCAAACAAACAAACAGAAACAGAGAATATGGCACGCAAGGAGCGAGCGAGCAAACAAACAGGTCGTAATCACTTATAGCAAAACTAGTTCAAATTGGATTTGATAACGTGTGAAGAAGCCAATATGGGAGGGGGGAATCCCAGATAGCGGTTAACTCCAGGTGGCTGCCGGACTCCTCGGCTCCTCGGAACGCGTGGGTCCGCTCACCATTTCCGCTACCGTTCTATGTTTTCGTTTCCATTCCCGATTCCCGATTCCGCTTCCGCCTCCGATTCCTAATCCGATATCGATTTCGTCTCTCTGTGTCCGCTCCAAATCCGATACCGGATCGGTCGACGCTCCGTTCGCGCTCCCGGATAATATGGATATGGCCCAGGAGCCGGAGTGGGGGCCGGGCCGGGCCGGTTTGGCCGGCTAGCCCAGCAGGACCTTGCGCATCATGAAGCCGCTGCTGGCGTTCGCCGCCGGCACGGCTGAACCCCTAGCCGCCGGCTGCTCTGGCTCAATGCACTTGGAGGAGCAGAGGTACTGCAGCAATGGCACTCGATACTTTCCACAGAAGTCCACGAATTTGATGTGCTCTACCCGATTGTCAAAGAAGACGCCCTTGCAGTTGGGATTCACACAGCAATTGGCGCTGTTCAAATACTCAGCCAGTGTCCTTGGGATGTCATAGGGTCCGGGTCGCTGGCCGCTGGCCTTAACCATACGACCGGCCAGTTCCAGGAGAGTGGGTGGCTTCAATGCCATATCCTGCACAAAGCGTACCACCAGCGGATTGTCGCGGAGACTTAGCTGTGAATGAAGAGAGAACGAAGGTCAAGGGGTTAGTAAGCTAAGGGATTACTTAAAACTTAAGGCAAGGAAATGGTTCAACTATTCTAATAATATCATATCAATATTGATATCAATCTTACCTCCGTCAGGTTCTTCAGTGCCACAATGTCCTTGGGAAGATGTCGGAGTCGGTTCTTGTGGAGCAACAGCGACTTGAGGTTCTTCAGTCGGGCGATGCTCGTTGGCAGGATCTCGATGAGGTTATCGCAAAGGACGAGAGCCTGCAGCTGGTTAAGTGAGCCCACCGCCTCGGGCACTTCGCTGATCAGATTGCCACCCAAAGACAACACATGTAGGCTAAAATTAATAATCAATAATATTGCAAGTTTAGTTTAATAATTTAAAAAGATAAATGTTTTCCCTAGCTAACTTTTGTTACTAATTAACAGCTGTTTATAATTTTAATTCCACCCATAATAATCAATTTCAAAAGGGTATTAACTTTTTAGTACGAATTCTGATAAGCTCATAATTAAGCTATAAAATAGCCATGTGAGCACCACTGGAAGAAATTGAGAGGTATACGCAGAGAAAATATTTAAATTAAGTTGATTAGCGGTATTGGTAACCAAATACAAACATATTCAAGCCCAAAGTTCAAAGTTTGGAGAGAACCAAGTCGTATGACTGTGGCCTTGGGTGCAGTCAAAAATAATATACCCTTTAGTTTTATTAAGCCGAAATATTGGAATTATTTTTGAATATAATTAATATTAAATAAGAGGTTTTTAAGAGGAGTTTTTTAATTAGTTAGCCTTAAGCCCTTGAAAAATTTTTACTTTCCAATTTTGTGCGACAATTCAAGATGATTTGGGTTTATTATTTTTTTTTTTGGTATTCTAAACGGACACTTGACTTGATAAAGCAAATTTATGATTTCTCAAAATAAGAATTTAATTAAATATTAAATATATATACGCAGGTTAGTGATAGTCTAAAGTTATGACTGACAGTTAAATATACAAGACATAAGAATAGACTTGATTAGCTAAGAAGAGCATTTTCATTAAACATTTTTGTGTTTTAATTTCTCTCTTGATAATATTAAGTGTATGTATTTATGAATCACTAAGCTGAGGGGTTCACATAATCGACACAGGTTATGTCATAGTTTATGGCGCTCACTGTACAGAGTGCAGCCCTTGTACCTACTGGCCTTAGGATCCTCTTCACATTCTTGGGATTTTAAGTGCGAAACAATCAATTCCCCCCGTAGACGTTGCAAAGTCCAGGCCCTCTGATAACTACAGCCCATTTAAATTTATATACCCTGTATTCTTAAGGGTGTTGGGTATGTTGGGCATACATTTCATTAAGATTTGGCTTATATGAAAGTATAAAAAGAACACAACTTGAAATTAAACCCAAATAATATATATATATAATGGTAGTACAGGGTATCAACTAGTCGAGTCAACACTTGACCAAAGATTACTTTATTGCTTAATTTGTTTTCAACTGATATTTGGAGTTTTTGTTGTGCGATTTTTTTTTATTTGTGCCATTTTTGCTCTTTGTTTATTATTATATTAATACATGGCCGTATCTTTATGGGCCGACCAAATCGGTTGGGTCGATTCGAGTACGTGTTTTTGATAGATTTGGCTTTTACGACGCCAGCACCAACCGACCACCCAACTCCCCGGCCAACCTGACGATCCGCCAATCCACTGCGATCCATCGAACCGCCAAATCGCCGGACAAGTGGTAGGCAGGCTGGCAGGCAGGCAGGCAGACTGGCGTTATCAGCTCAGCGGCTTTATAGCTATATATTACGATCTCGTCTGTGCTTGGACTTTTATACATGGCAACAGCAAAAGCAACAGAGCTCGCCAGTCGTCGCCCCTTCTCCACGAGTGGCCAATGTCAAGCCGCAAGAGGCAAGAGGGGGGTGCACTCGCAGAAATGGGAAAGTCCGAGTCCTTTTTGAGGGCGCAGATTGGGAAAGACCAAATACTTTTGGCAAAAATAACTTTAAAATATATTTTAAAATCAAAAATATATATTAGTTTGCTATTAGTTAGTTACTTAGTTAGTCATGTATCTAGTATAAATGCACTCTATTGATCATCTTGAAAAAAAAAAACATTAATAAAAAACAATCAACAAATGTTTGTTTTTCAAAGTAACTTTATATATTCTTGTTGATCGACTGATCGGCAGTTGATAATGATTAGAAAGGTTTACCCTGGTAAAGGGTGAAATTCGACCATTTCCCTCTTCACGTAGACAATAGAATTATAATTGCTGCTCATAAATTAGAAAACTTGCTCATTTCACGTTATCTATACTATTAATTTTGTTTTGACTTATCGCCCTTTTCAATGTGTTTTGACCATTGTTTGTCAGTCTAAGTTTTATTTTTGACCTTCACATAACTTAACTGAAATTTGCCGAAAATTTGAGAAGAATTTGTTTTAGTTTTTAAAGGAAAAACGTTTTCCACTGCACTGCAGTTTTCCCTTTGAAACGGATTTCTTTCGCTGTTTTAACTCTTCAAACTGACCCTGTTCTTAGCCCTGAAAGCTAACTAACCTCTTCTAGTTTCGTTCTCTTTGTATACCAAACATTGAAATCATAGATAAATATTCCCACCAGCAACGGTTATTAGAAACCAAAAAAAAAAAAGCTGATAAAAATCGTTTTTGGTTTTAACAATGAAATGGTTTGGGTTTTTACCCAACCAAACAAAAACAGTTGGCCAAACATGCCATAGAGAACATTGACATACCTCTGCATCTTCCAGATATCCTTTGAGATGCTGGAGATCTTGTTGGCGCCCAGATACAAGTACTTGAGGTGTCGCAGCTCGGTGACCTGCTCCGGGAAGTGGGTCAACTGGTTGCCACTCAGATTGAGTTCCTTGAGCGTTGAGGTGGTTCCACCGAAAGTACTATTGGCCTGTTTGGACAGCAAAGACTTGGGAAGCGAGGCATTGGTCAACAGGTTGTTCTTGGCAATCAGAGTCACTAAAGGCAGCTGACAGACGGCATCCGGCAAAGTGGTGATGGCATTTGAGCTGAGATCCAGGACCTTCAGATTGGCGAACTGCATCAGGAGACGGGGCAGACCCACCAGGCGATTGTGATTGAGCAGCATGGTCTCGATGTCGCCACTGGACTTAAGCAGAGCCTTTTGCGGGGAGGCCAGATGATCTTCAAGGGTCACCAGGTCTAGGCTCATGCGCCCAAAGTCCAGGGTCTTCTGCTCTCGCGAATCCGTGTCCGAGCTGTCTGACGTGTACACCTCCATGGCTGGATCGGTCTGTCCTGGTTAATGATGCTGCTCACTGGATGATGGCGCGATCTCGCTTTGTTTACCACTGATGATCGAGTAGCTCGATCGATCGAACGCTCTCGCGCAAGCACAAAAACACAAAAAAAATAATAACGCAACGCAACGCAACGCTTTACGAAAACAAAAAACAGTTGTCAGCGGTGAAAAAGTTGAAAAAACCGTCGCGACACTTGACGCTCGCACTGCTCAGCTTGCCCAGCGCGAATGCCAAGTGGTTTGCTTTGACGGCGGCTGCTTTCCAGATCGCCGAGCCAAGACTATTCGACTATATATGAGACTATATCAGCGGCATGCGATTGGATCTTCGGCTGGGCCACAGATTGCGATTGCGCTAACTAGGTGGTTTCTCTCGCTCTCGCGGCACAGTGGGACGAGATATATGGTTCTTTGGAAAGAATGTATCGATCAGTATTCATCAGTACAAAAGAATATATATAATCATCAAGAAAACATCATATCGTCTTAACTTACTTTCAGATTATCTACTAGGATTTAACCAACGTTGCGGATGAGTAATATAAATTGTTTGTAATTTTAACAAAATAAGATAAGGCTAAATCAAAATGAATGGAAATCATTTCACAAATCATTTCAATATTTCATAATAATTATTCCCAAACCAATGTGCAAATGTGATCGCTCTTTGTGCACAAGGCGTATGCGTAATACGATTATTAGCACGGGCCTGGTTTTAGTTATGATTATGTTGGTGGTATTAGTACTAGAAGTAGTACGGTTTCTGATACTGGGCCAAAGGTACCAGATTTCGCGTGGGTGGGCCAAACAGTTGGATTGCCTTCTAGTGGGGTGGGTGTAAAAGCGAGCTTATCGGTAACTGGAAAATGCTAGACCATCCGTATTTATGTCTGACTTCTGGGAACCATATAAATACTTTCGTCATTATCAATTATTTGACATTAATTATTTTATTGAAATTGTTTATGGCTTCCACTTCGGATCACGTTCAACAATTATAATATAACAAAAATAAATATTGTAGAAGCTTTGTTGAGAGGTTTTTCCTATCTGGTTGGGTAAGAAATATCGGGGAACCCGGATCCGAAGATTGCAAGGAATTTTGAAGGAGTATAAGAAGAATAAAGAAGTTGATAAACAGAGATTTGGATTTATGTAAATATTATGTAATATTCATAAATATTGATCATGTTATGAAAGGTTTTTAGAATATATAAGAAGTTGATCACAAAAAATGTATTTAGAAAAATTTGAAAAATTTGAAAAAGAAAGTACAGAAGTATTTCCTTTGGTGGAATCTTGATAATGTATCCATAACATATAAGGAAAAACAAGGGCCTTCAAAGGATACTCCATTAGATATAACATAACATATCCGATAAAAATAATCTACGATCCTTAATGAAAGCTACTGAAAAAGTAAAAGTTCAACAACTTTTCAACTGCCACAAGGTTTTCAATGTCTAAAGATCGCATCGATTGATCACACGAGCACCGGGACTGGGACTGGGACCGGGACTTGAATTTATTTTATGACACATCCGTCGGCTGTCACCCCTTAACCCACTTCTCTCCATTAACACCATCGATTTCCTTCCACCAATCACCAGTTCACTAAATGACCAATTGGCTTTGGCTCTGGCTTAGGCTCGTTAGTTTGTCGGGACTTGTGCGAAAAGTTATCGAACAGCCCACTTCATCCGTGCAATAATCAATATATTTACTCTCGTCAATCTTTTGTTTTTATTGCCCGCCTGACTTTCTGTACTTAGGAGCGTCTAATCAAAACATCGCTCCGCCCCTTCTGCGCCCCCTGCGATCATTTGTTGCGGCACTGTGAAAAAAAATCCAGAGATATTATTGTTAGTAATTAAAGAAAGTTGCTAAAATGTTTTTGTAATCGAATTAACGATTAACACATTGCGAAAGTTTGATAAAAATCTTAAGAATTGAGTAACTAATGTTTGAAAAATACTGAAAATATTATAATTATAAAATAACTTATTAGATCATTAAGAAACTATTAAGAGATGGAAGGTTTGCTTAAAAATATCATATTTATACATTTACGATATCTAAAAAACTTAAAGAACTTTCTATTTAAAGAAATTAGCAATTCGCTTATGATATCTGTAAAAAATCTATAAAATCTATAAATCCAAAGAAATCAAAACCTACTTACATTTTGTTTTCTGTGTACTGATGTTTGGCTACTAAATCTTCTTCTTCGGTACGGGGGATGGGGCTTTTGGGGCTGGGAATATTTGGCGTGGCAATAATTGTTTATTATCACGTCATTGGACCTTTTTGTTGCTATTGCCATTGTTGTTGCTGTCGCTGTGTCGCACTGATAAGAGTCAACACACACTCAAAAAATATCACAAAAAATCAAGAGCCTCAGCGATCACGACTGGCCAGGCCAAGCGATGGCGATCGTTGGCCAGCTATCTATTTATAATTAAACCAAAAATTTATAGCATGCTCAAACTCCAATCTGTATCAATTTACAACTGTTGCACGATAACAAAACAAAGGAAAACTTAACAGAACAACTTCAAATATATAATATTAACTTAACTTAAATGTGTAACAAAAAGCAAGATTTAATTATGACAAAAAGTTAAGGGATTCTATCAAAAACTTATGCTTGCTTGTATAATAGTTATTAAGGGACTGAGCAATGTCTAGACATTTGGTATATTTTTGAAAAACATTATCAGAAGCCAAAACTATTTACCTAAAGGTATGCTTATTGCTAGTCGGCTACTAACTCGGCTATCAATTATAATTAATAATTATCGCATTACCGACGGCTATCGCAAAAACAATGCGCACAAGAAATTGATTTCAAGGAGTAGATTTCGTTTTTTGGTAATATTTTTAAAGCTTTTTGGTTAAGGCAAAAAAACTGTAAAATAAATATGGAAAATATGTATTATTATCCAAAGATTTAAATACAAAATCATGTTAAAAGTTTAAAAATCAATGTAGAAACTAAAACTGTAGCTGAAGCTCAAAAAAGAAATTACAAAAATTCTCATCGAGAAGGATATTTGATGGCTATGAACCATAAATTGCTATAAAAATCCTTTGGTTTTTGTTTCTATAAAATATTTCTTAATATATTTTATATTACCTTCTTTTTAAATAAACTATTTAAAAGATCATATCATTCTGTGTTCATTTTTTGTTCTGTGCAGACTTTGTTTTTTGTTTTTGGTGCCTTTTTGCACACGTTGCGAATTTGAAAGTTAAGTCAATGTCCGTCTGTCCGTTTGTCCGTCGATCTGTCCGTCTGTCGTCATCCATTTATGTGAGTATGTGGTCCTTATCGCACCGAATTTAAATTTCTATCAAAACAAAGCGAGCAGAGCAACGTCGATAGTTGTTCTACTATAGACCAGATTAACTCGCGACATTTGATTCGGCTATTATTTTTCAGTTTTTTTATATTTTTCCCAGAGGAGAGTTCACCATGAGAGTAACAATTCTTGGCGACATTAAATCCGCATATGGGCAATTTTATTTTAAAACCCAATGCAAATCTATCGCCTTTGCAAATCTATCATCGTCCATTATCGCTATCTGTCGCGCCGTCTGTTTCGAATTTAAGTGCCCAGATGGCTCTGGATTTTTACTTTGGGGAGTCGATTTGAAGTGAACCCGAACTCGGGCGATAGCCCACAACCTCTCTAATCCCTAAAAGAGGAAAAATAATTTTAAAAAAAAATCAGAGATCAGGCTGCTCGAATAACTGTACTTTACTGTTTTCTGGATGAGCACATCTGTGTGTTTTGCAAATTTCAATTTAAGTTTGTATTAAAATCCCCCTCCAGCCGCAAAGTATGCTGCAATTTGAGGTTTTTAATGAAGAGGGAGGTCTATTTTGAGGAACCAACAGCTAGGTTAGAACCTTTCTATTCAAATTAAAACTGGTTAAGGACACATATTTTTCACTGTTTGACTTAAAATTTAATTAGTAAAGTTACCATTTAATACAAAAATTAATCCACTTTAGTTTTATTTTGGTTATTTATTTGCTTGCTATTTGGATTACGTGTCACATTATTTTACAAAGTATACAAAAAAATATGTATTTAGATTTATGTATATCTCAAGGTTTGATAGCAGTGTTTTTAGTTGAACATAAATATTAAAATTTATTGGTTTTTATATATTTTAATATGTATATATATATATATATTTAATATGGTTTAGCTTCTTAAAAAAAAAAAACACGAAACCCATTCACACACCTAAATGCCTTTTGTGTAGTTTGATGGTATGCACTGATCTCGCAAAATCGTTTACTCTGCTTGATTGAATGGTTTGAATGATTGATTGATTGTTGATTGCTGTGTGTGATTGTTGAACTGTGCTTTTGGTCTCCAGGGTTTGGCACACACAAGATCCACACCGAAATGGTATGGCATGCTCGTGCTAGCAAATATGTTTCGAGTTTAGATTCGTAGATTTAGATGACTTCTTCTTGACCTTCCTTTGTGCAGATATATATTGCATTTCTAATCGCTAAAAGTTTATATATCGTATATATATATATATGTATATGTATGTGTGGGTATATGTATTATCCGCATAGTACATTTATTAGCAAAAAAATGTTGAGGGGGGGTCATGAACCCGTTTTGGGGGTCAGGAAAAAAAAAAACACTTAACTCAATACTGATGTTTAGTACACATTAGATGCTTTCTAATTTAGCATTAATTAGCTTTACTTACAGGCTACTAAGTATATTTTAATGTAATAATAATAAATTATTAATCAAATATGCTTGGTTAGTGAGCAAGAAGGGCAGGGCAGGGCGGGCAGGGCGGGCTGTTGGTGCGGTAGTCGTAGTCGGGCTAAATCCCTTGCAGCTGCATCAGTGTCCTGCCAGCTGGGCAGTTGGCCAAGCGATCTTGGCATCAATCCTTTTATACGCCAACATACAATGCTTCCCCTTGGCCGCCAGTCGTGCATCCTGTGGACACTCGGCGTCTGTTAGTAATGTCTCCTCGCCATCCACCAGCTTGAAGAGTGCATAGTCCTGGGGATTCGTAATTCTCGCCTTATGGGCAATGATGCGACACACCTCACGCGTGGTAGTATGCGGCCGTACTGGCAGTGTCCTGGTCTGCAAGGAGCCATTGCACTCGTCTGGTATGATCACGCGCAGCACACTGGAACAGGCGGGCAGGCAGCTGGAACGCCACTGTAAGTGAAAGGGAATGTGGTTAGTTAAGTGAAGAACTTTTTGGGGTTTAAGAAGCTTGAGCTGGGTTTCTGTGGGCAAAGTGCTGGAAAATTCAAATGATTAGATTTTTCTTTTATCTTCTCATATCCTATACTATTTTCTCTTTCAAAGAAGTCTCCTTTTATGCTTTCTCGTTTTAGATTATTGATAAAATCTGTTTTTTTTTAATTTATGTTTGCAATTTCGATTTATTGTTTGTAGAAAAAGTTAAAAATAAAATTAAAAGAAGTCTGTCAACCTAAAACCTTTTGATTTTAGCCGAACAAAAAAGATTAAAGATTATCTTTTTATCATAAAAAAGAGCTTATTGTAGTTAATACTAAAGATAGTTAATCCAGATAAGATAGTATCTAGTATCCTAAACCAATTTCAAGTCTTATTTCCAAGCGTCAAGTCAAGTTATTTTATAAACATTAAAAACTAAGAAAATACTTTCAATTAAATTAGAAATAAAAACTAATTCAGGGAAATGGAAATGGGAAAAAGGGAAAACAGGGAAACCCAGCTCATTCACTTCTGTTACTTACATCCAGAGATCCGCTGCCGCTCTCCCCCTCGGAGGCCATGAAGGTCTTCAGCACCTGAACGGCGCTGCAGAGGGCTGTTAGGTAATAGCCCGGCTCTCCATTTAGCAACGTTGGCTGCAGGAGGCCCCACATGAACTCCGCCTCGATCTCGGCGCCCACAAAGCCACACTTGGCCACCACATAGACGAGCACGGGCAGGAAGTCATCGGCGCCCAGTTGCTGGCCACGTGGACAGCCGGTGGCATCGAATACCGTTGAGATGACGCACAGGAAGAGCTCGAGCTTATCCAGAGGCAACTCAGCCTCCTGGAGGCGGCACAGCAGATTGGCGATAAGTCGCAGGGCGCCCTGTGAAGGCGGCGTAACCGTTGGACGAATGCCAAAGTCGGCAGCTTCCCGTTCGCAGGCATAGCGAACATTCTGAGCCAGCAACTGGATATCCTCGCTTCGCTGATAGTGATCCACAAAAATGCCATAGAGATGCTCTCGGAGTGGTAGGACCACCAACTGATGCATCACCGTCTCCAGCATGGCGTCCAAATTGAGAAACTCATCGGATTTTAGTCGCGCCCTCGCCGTTTCCAGTTCGGCATGGAACTTGCCCTCGCCATGCTTTACCAGGTAGTTCTTCATGCCGCTCATAAACTGCCGCATATTGCGCATCACCACCTGGGGCGCCGCTTCTCGGGATTCCTTGGTGCAGCAGATGAAGTTTTCGATGTTGCGGGCAAATGTGGAGCTGGGATCCTGGGCCAATTGTAGGGTATAGGCCCTTAAAGAGTCGCCGGGGCCGCTGCTCTGGATGCTCATCTTGTTACGGGGGTGACCTGAAAGAAGAAAGAAAACGGGATTTGTTAGTTTTTAGATAATAAATTGGATAATCTTAAATGCTAGTTATCTAAGTCTCCCTACTACTATCCTCTATGCATTATCCTAGAACCCAATCCTTACCAGCTATTAATTCACACAAAAGTCTAAGCAAACGTCGCAGGATGCGACAGCATCCACGACTCCGGCAAAAGTCCTCGTCGGCACACTCACAGCCACGTCGATAGCGTCGATAGAGACGACGACTCTCGGATTGCAGGCACAGGCCCAGTGCCTGGCATTCGACAATATGGGCCATGTTCAGCAGGATGTTGCCCTGTTCGTCCAGGTGAAAGAACTGTTTGATGTCGTAGTGATCACAGGTGTTGAGCTCACCAGGATGGCATTGATCCGGCTCGTTGCTGGCTACATTCGGCATGGAATCCTCGCCGGCTGGACACTTCCCAATGGCGCCCATTATGGAGCCGGCCAAGGCCTCAGTCTTCAGTTGCTTGCGATTGATGCGACAGTCTTTGAGCACCTGTTGCGGACAGGTGGTGATGGATGGAGTGGTAATACTACTAGCCGAGCTGCTAGATTTCCTCGACTTTTTACACAGCACTGCCGATGGAGAGGAAGATTCCCGCTGTTGGTTATCATCTGCATTCTGCGGCAGGGCAATCCCAGTCTGTATATTATCTACGAATAGCAGCTCCAGGAACTTGCGTTTACGTTTGGGTTTTGTCTTTGCTTTAGCCTCTGGCTCATTCTCATCGTTATTCTTGGATGAGATCTCCTCCAGCGAACTAATAGGCAGCTGTGTCCTTTGCTGCAGCAGCTCTTCTTCAAAGTCCGCTGAGAAGTAATTCGATTGCGGTGGATGCTCGATGATCTCCCATTCGGACATGATGCTTAGGAACTGTGCCTCCTCTTTGTAGTGTCGCACATGGTCGGGATCGTGAAAGAACTCCTCTGGCTCTTGGCGTTCAATGCACCGCTCGTCCAGCCAGCTCAAGGACTTGGACATGTCCTGCTGTTGCTCTGGCCGCTGATCCTGCTCCTGCTCCTGCTCCTGCTGATGAGGATGAGCAGGACTGGCGGAGGAAGGCGAATGCGGGCGGCTCACGGACTGTGCACGCGACGATCTTCTGAACCAGCTCATGGTATATCCGGTAGCGATTCTTGCCAGCTAAAACGAATTGGCGGAAACGCAGGTTTCTCATGGGCACACGCTGCGGCTGATTGATAAGCGATGGCGGTCGCGACCAACTCTCACTCTCTTCTCGTTCTCTCTCTCTCGAAACTTTTCTGAATGATATTTCAATTTTCGTTATGATTTTTGTTTTTCTTTTGTTCTGCTCTCGCAGGCTGCTGCTCTAAACGCGGCCAATGCAAAACTAATTCTGAACTTCATACGCATTAGTTTATAAGAAGACGACGACGACGACGACGACGACGACGACGACGACGACGTCGGCGGCTACGATGATCTCTCAGTCGACGTCGCAGTCCGCAAAAACAAAGATAGCGACGGCGACGTCGCTAAATGTGTCAACTCGTCAAGTGGCGGCCTCATTTCGATGACCTTTTCCACCCTCAAGCAGGCCATCTTAGATCCCCAGGTAGTAGTCCCGCTCTTAGTCCTTTATATGATCATCCATAATCATATATTTTCACGGGAATTTCCGGCCATCCAGGTACAGTTGCGCAAACCAATTGACTCAATCGCAGGCCAGGATTGGTTTGCCTTCTATGCTATCCAGGTAGCCGCCCAATGTCCAATATCCAATCCAACCCACTGTCCAACTACCTGTTGGCTGGGCTCTAAAGCTATCGCCATCGCCATGCTGATTCATAGAGAAGAAGTTCTTTTTGTTCGCTCAAACAAATCGGAAACCCCGTTTGCAAAACGAAACCCAGATGTTCGTTCGAGAGTCCCATTAAAAGCGTTTCCAGAATCCCCTTCTATTACTCATGTAAGTGTAATCAGAGCTGTAAGCTGTGGTTTCGATTTATTGAAGTCAAGATAGAACTATTGTTTTCATGTTGAGTAATGTAAGAGTTTAGAAGTCGTTGACGCCTTGGAAGACTTTTTGAATAGCAACCCTGTTTGGTGTTCATTTTCTGTTCATTTTCAGTTCATTTTCAGTTCATTTTAAGTTCATTTTAGGTTAATTTTAAGTTCATTCCTTTATTTCTCCCTTGTAAACTTCGACTTTAGGCTTAGATCTCAGCCTTATGTCCTTGTAGAAAGTGCTCTGGAGTGCTCTCTTTTTTTTTCTAATCTCACATCTCCTAAACGGTCTTATCAACAGACACGCTGGCTGGCTCGAAACTGGAATCGCGACTCCGTCCGGGTTCTCATGCAATGGTTTGCCCGGATTGCATCAGCATTAGCCTGCAACTTGGTTCTGATGCGCAATTCGGAAAAACCTCCAGGCGTTAAATGGAGGTTTTCAGGTTAGGGTTGAGGGTTCTTAAACGATCTTCCTTGTTCAAAGTTCACAATTCAGTTTCAATTTCAGCCTTGGCATTTTAGAGATCACTGAACCCATGTACCTGTTTCTTTATTTTCTCTAGATTTGCCTGATGATGCCAAGGGCTAAAGATTTTCCCCTGGCTAGAGAGATTTGGCTTATCAATCCAAAACACCTCCTCCATTAAGTTTTACAATGCCCGCAGGCAAACAGCAAAATCAGTTGGCAAGGCGGCGAATGTGAAACGAGCACGTGTGAATTGGGGTGGACCAAAATCCGAAATCAAAATCCAGAATAAGTAATCCCAAAAAGGCGTTTAGTATCAGTGATTTAAAAAAAGTGCGTTTTTAAAAATAGAAATGCCCTTGTTTAACTTTCATCAGATGGCCTTTGTTGTCTGGCCAGGCCAGGCCAGGCAGTCAGTCATTTGGTGTTTGTCTTTGCTTACACTGACCCAAAAATAGACTGTCTAGGTCGAGATTTTCCTACTCTTTAACAGCATTCCAATCTGTTAGTGTTTGCCTATGTGTTGGTATTAATATTTGCATTTGCATTTGTATTTGTATTTACACTCATATATTAATTACGCATCCCATTCAGAGTCTCTAACTCCGCGCGGTGAAATTTGCGCTCGCTGATAAAAACGCTGTCGGCGTCGCTACGTCGTCGGTTTACATTCCAAAGTCTGTCACTCAAATGGCTGTAATACTGTTATACTGTTATACACTACACAGCTACTACTAGCTAGTTTGGAACAAAATCATGTTTAGTTTTATGACATTTCTGTGGAGGTTTAAGGGTCTTTCAAGGGTCTTAAGGAGTTAGTTTCTAACTTTTTTAAGGAAGTTTTCTTTGGAATTTTGCTTTATTTTTAAGTAACTTTTGGGTATTTAAAGGGTTTTGGGGTTAAGAAGATATTTTCTAACCTTTTAAGGAAGTTTTCTCAGAAACTTTTCTTTATTTTTAACTAACTTTTGGGTATTAAAAGGCTAAGTTGTCTCTATTTCCTGGTAATACAAATTAGAAATTTTACAACAAGATGGTTTTCAAAAATCTTCTCAGTTTTTCTATATAAAAGAAATCAATATCTTGTGTCTGAACAATCAGAACTCAGCAAAAACAGAACTCCTAAAAAGCTTAAAAATCAAAAACCCAAACTCTGTAATAATCCAAACATCAGAACTACCCAAAGACTCTACAAACTTCCCAACCCAAAATCATAAATTTTTATGTAAAATATTTCCTTAAATTTCCTCCGCATTTTCCCAGTACATCACTCTCGCTTCTCTCCAACTGCCTTGCAAAAAAACATATCTAAACTGCGACGCAGAAATCAGGGGGCAGCGGATAATGCATTGACGGGCGGTATCAAGGGGGGCGGGGCGGTTCAGAATTGGGTTCGACTGGCAGGCAGGCGTTGTGCAGCGCCGATAAGTTTCGTTTCGGCAAGGCTTTGTAGTCTTCGCCTTCAGTGAACGGCGGCGGCAGCAGCAGTAGTGTTTTCTTTTTTCATTTTCTTACTCAGATTCAGATAGGCTAACTCGAACGCCGTCGCTGCAATCCAGTTTTAACTGCCTCGGAAGGCAGACCTAAGTCTGCTGCTTAGTTAAAAGCTGGCAAAGTCGAGGAGTGATAGTATATAGAAATATATAGATCAAACTAAAAGGTTTAAGCCTTAAGCTTTAGTGATAAAAATATGAGGGTTTTCCCTTGAGTTGAAGTTACTTTTAAAGTTAGTATATCTAAAAGAACTTTTCATGACTTTCCATTGACTAAAACCTCTCGGCCTTTACAAAACAAAAGCAAACAAAAGAAACAAACCTACTTGGTATTGGCTCTTTATCGCTTTATATTATAGTTTTTATATTAAAACGTAGTCTGGTATTACTCATAATAGCGCTGTGACCCATTTTTCGTAGCAACAAAAGTTTTTAACATAAAATTTAGGCTTTTCCATGAAACCCCCACATAGAGCTTTCACACTCTGATTGATTACTTTAAATCTTTAAGTTCCGTGCACTCAATCAATCCATCAATCGATGACGATGTTTCGCTGATAACTGATAGCAGCTAAGAGAGACGTTGGCAGCGACTCGTGCGTTCTGTTTTGGTGACCATGGGGACGAGTATGATGCAACAATAATAACAGATTGCAATTGAGCGTGATGATCCCCATCCTCGTCGTTACTCCACTTCCCAGGCACACGAGACGGCTTCTCTGAAGGCAAAGTGCTGGTGCAGGTGCTGGCTTGGCTACGATCTTCTATCAAGTGATGCTTCTTAACTGGTCCTTAATCTAACTCACTTTCTAATCTTAACTTAAACAAAAACTGCAACTTACATAAGACTTCACGGTCCCGCATGCTGGGATTCCGCAGAATTGTGGCCACTTTGGGTCGACTTGGATTGGCCTTGCCGTTGTTGTTAAGCTTATGGTGTCCAGCACCATTCCTATTGGCCTTCAGTGTGTCCTGGTTGCAGCTGCCATTGCTGCCGTCTTTGGTGCTTTGTAATTCCTCGATGATAGTGTCGTCCTCGGAGAGAGCGGGTCGGCACTTGGACAGATGAATGGTGTCCGAGTTGATGGTGGCATCTAAAAGATAAACCATATTATATAGTAAATCAATAGATATATATGAGAAAGGAGATTAACAACCCACCATCATGGGGCAGGAAGGAGTCCCACTGGGACGAATCCCAAGGTTCCGAGAAAATGGTGCCATCGTCGGACTGAGCCGAATCGATGCCTCCGAATGAGTTCTGGCAGAAGACGTTGTCGTAGGAGGAGAGCCTGCAGCCGTTTTGGCTCTGGAATGACTTCTGGCTGCCATCGCATCCAAGTCCCACCTTATCCTGTCCCAGGATATGCGGCTGCAGTGCAGCCGTCTGTGGTGGCGTGGAGCAACGAACCAGTTCCGGCAGATTGAGGTCTGGCAAACGCTTGGCAATGATCTGATGGATGGTCAACGCTCGCTTCTTGCCCTGCCCATCGGCTCGACTGTCCCTGCCCAGTGAATTCTCCTTTTCCTGCCAATCGATAACTGCCGTATCGTAATCCCCGCCAGCATGGCTACCCGTATCCTGCTTGGCCATAAACTCCCAGCTACTGTCCAGTTGCCAGTGATCGATGCGATTGCGAGCCCGCTTGGTGGGCTGTTGTTGTTGTTGTTGCTGCTGCGACTGCTGCTGCTGTTGTTGCTGCTGGGAAACCTTCGGTTTGGGTTTTAGTTCATCCAGGCTGCCGGCCAGCTTCTCCAGCTCGATGGGCTGCAGCAGGGCCCCGTTGCCAGATCCTCCGAAGCCCGCTTTTAGTGGTTCCGAATGTCTTTGGCTGGCGTGCAGCACTTGGCTGCGATGCTGGCGTCGCAGTATGGCGGTGGCTGCACTTGTCAGGCCTGCCTGACGCAGTGCATCCGCCGGTTCCGCGTAAAAGGGACTGCCCTGCTTGCTGCGACCACCACCAGGGGTTTGTCCTTCGGCCGTGGGCGTGGTATCGCCACCATCATCGTCGGCTGCCGATACCGATTGGGTCATGGCAGCTGGCGGGGCTTGTCCCGATAGATTTGGCAGGAGCAGACCAGCTCGAGAGCGAGCTGGAACATCGCCGGAAAACTGAAGCAAAGACTGACTCGAGGATTCGTTAGGCGTGGCAGTGGTTTCCTCTTCGCAGGGCGCTAGGTGTGACTGCTGCGTCGGCGTGGGAGTGCTCGCTAAAGGGCGTAAAACAAGGGATTATTAGATATATGATTCCCAGAGGAGTTTCAGCAAGAAAACTTACGTGTCTCAGCTAGCAGATCCGGCCTTCGGTTCATCACACCACCCACCGTGTCTAGTGCCGGGCGGAAACTGGTCAGCAGGCTGGCCCTATCGCTGGGATCATGTGACCAGACATCCTCGTAGTCACTGATCTTGTCGCTCAACGCACTGGCGCAATACTGCAGTGGCGGGCTCTCAAGGATGTCCGATTCCTTGTAGTGCTGTGACTCCTTGCCAGCTCGGGATTTCCTAGACTTGCCGCCACTGCTGCTGCTGCCGCCGCTGGGCGTTAGCGGTGTCATTGGAGAGGTGAGCAGCTTACGAGCCGTCGGTGGCCAACGGCCATCATTGGATGAGGATCCCTGCGAGGACAGCGTATCCTTGCACTCGCCCTCCGGTGACAGTCGCTTGGCGAATGTCTGAAAAGTGCTGGCCTGGCCATTGAGCAGGGCATTGAAGGGATTGCTAGCCGCCGGTGTGGTAACCTCTACGAACTTTCCATTACCATTCGCTGCAGTTGGTCCACCATTGGCTCCCCCGTTCTCCATGGAAAAGGTAACCGTTGTGGTAACCGTAAAGTTTCCATTGCCACTTCCATTCTGATCCGGTGAATGTGGCTTTGACCAGCGCAACGGTGGTGCCGGTGGCTTGAGATTCAGTGTATTCGGTGGCTTGGGTCGCTGTGGACGTACCTGATCCATTTCGGGCGCAGTTTGGGCAACCTTGAACGTGCTCAGCTGTTGGTCCACAAGCGAAGGGCAAATGGGTGCCAAGGGACCACCAGCCGAGCCGGGTAAGTAATGTCCCGAATTGTCCACCGGTGACATGGTAAGAATCACTGAATCCACCGAATTCGGACTTAGTAGCTGCAGGTGTTGACCTCCACTGGTGGTGAAAGAGCTCAGGCTGGAGTTTGTGGTATCAGATGGAGTTCCCGCCTGACTGAAAAAGCCCAGCAACTGCCCACTTCCTGTGGGACTAAACAAACTACTGCCCGGGATGGGTGGTGCTCCTGTGGGCGGTGGCTTGGCCAGTGCATCGCTGAAAAACGTGGCCGTTCCCAGGCCACTCGTCTCTGTCAACGAGAGTGGTGATTTCGCATCCAGCAGATGCTGATCTTTCGAAGGTGCCACTGTTGGTGTGGGTGGACCTAAGAGAGCCGGACTGCTGGCATAACTCCAGAACTCCTGACCCAGCAGGGCCAAAGAGCTCAGCTTCTTTCGGTTGTTAGCCTCGCGCAAAACTCGTGGCAACATCAACTGCACCGGCAACTCATCGCAACATTGGGCATAGTGGGCTATCAGCGAGGGTATCGAACCGAAGGTGAAACGCGAGCTTTCCAAACTCAAAACATTATCGTGCGACTGGATGAGATAGTGCTCGATATAGGGTCCCGTGTCCTGGGGCAATCTTACCGAAACTGCCATCGTATTTGGCTGACTGGAACCACGTACGATGAAGGTCTGAAAATAAACATAAATTATAGAGTTTAGATTAGTTTTCTGGGTATATAATATATATATATATATTAGAAAAGAACTTTCACACACAATTTGGCAAGCCATAACTTAAAAGCAAACCTTAAGATTTGACTGCCACACAGCGGGTTATATATAACAAAGATTCGCCGCTTTATCTTTCCATATCTTGGCATGGTGGTTTAAGTCCTTAAGTGAGTCTTTTTCCTTTGACTGCGCGTTAAATGTTGCGTTCACAATTCGCCCATGAATTCCCACTTATGGATGATAAATCGTCCCTACTCTTCGTGTACCTACTCCTCCTCCTCTACCATTCCTGCAACAATGCCCCACAACCACTTCTTATTTTTCTTGTGCCTTGCCACTTCTTGTTGTCGGCAAAAACTTTGCAGACGCTGCGACAAATCGCGTTGTTTGGCTTATATAGCCCATATAGCAGGGGGCGGGTATGGCTATAAATGCCTTTTCAGTTTGCTAGAAAACCTGGTCAAGTGTGGCCAAGACCAGACCGTTCTTGCTAATCGCCTGTGAAAAAACTTTTATAATGAGCAGCGTTTAAGCCTTTAAGTAATGTGAAAAGAAAATATAATAAAAATCTGTAGAAAATATGTTTCTCTGATTAATAATATTTTTGATTTTGTAGAGAAATAAAATCGAATATCAAATATTTTTTTATAAATTATTTCCAGCCCCTTGTCCTGCCAACAAAATCTCTAAGCTACGATTTAATAATGTCCCCTTTTTTTTTATAATTCTTTCAAATGCAATTTCATTATAATTTCCATTCATAATCTTTCCCCAATCAATTTTGTAAAGTTCTGAGTTACAGCCACCTCCCCCCCCTAACCACCATCCACCCTCTACCCCACCTGATCGCCAGAAACTCAAGGGGAATTAAAAAGCGACAAGGATTCCTCAAGGAGAGAGGGAGGAGGGCGAGTGGTGGAGGGCTAAAGATGTTCTTAAGTGTTTTTCCTCAGTCTACGAGATTCACTTTCTGCGATTTACAGATTCTCCCCCTACCTCCCACCGCTCGTCATTGTTGTATTTGCCTTTCAATTTTCATCGCAGCAACCCTAAAAGCATGCAATTATATATATGAAGACACACCCACGCTTACATATACATATATAGATATATAATTTTTCGTCTTCAGATTTCAATAAATGCCAACCATTGCTAGAGGGGCGGGGTGGTGTGTTAAAGGTCGTGGCGTTTTCGTGCACCCTGTGGCGTTGTTTATGATTTCTGTGCGAGTTGCGCACAATTTTTCAATAAGCAGTTGAAAGAAAATCATAAAAAAAAGAACCCATGAATCGGGTGGTTTTCTCTGGCAACGTTTTTAAAGCATACTTTTCAGCTGCTAGGACAGCTACTTTTGATTCCATTACCAAAAATAAAGGACGACGCGGGGATAAAGAATTTTATACTGATTTAATTTAATGCGGTCACACAGGGGGCGTGGCCAGGCTGAGTTGACCATTCGAGAAAATGCAATTTATCGGAAAGACAGACGACAAAAACGAGCATAAAAGTTCCTTAACAGGCTGAAAGCCAAACCAAAACTGAACACAAAAGGAAAACTTAATAAAAAAAATCGGAGTTGGGCAAAAGGAAAGGCCAAGGCAAGGCAAGCCAATTGCAAGGAAAGTCGAAGGATAATGCACAAAGGTTGCCAAGGCTGCCTGCTATGCTATAAAAGATGAAGGCTGTGCTATGGAATATGAATACATTGCGTTTCGGGAGTTTAAGAACTTTTCCTAAAGAGAAAATTGTAATAAATTTTGAGATAAAAGTTTAAATTTGTTTGACTAATTGTAAGAGTTAATGTTATTAGGTTTTTTAAACAATTTAAAGAAATAATTAAGTTAAAAAATTGCTAAAATAAACTCAATTTCTTAGAAAAAAAACTTAAATTTATGAACAGAAAAAGATTTGTCTTTTAAAATGCAAATATTATTATAAAATTTCTCTTTCTTATTACTTTTTCAGTATTTTTTACTTATTAAAAAGTAAAAATATTCTTATTTGAATAATCTCCTTTAGACTTATAGCTATTTACCGCACTGTCTTAGCATGTGTGTGTCTCAGTGCCTGCATTTTATTGGCTCGAATTGACAAATCTCATTTGGTTGGTGAACAATAAAAAGGCGTAACAGCATTTGCCATCTAAGACAGATCAGATATACATATATATTATGTATCTAATATATATATATAGCTCTCATTTCAGATATATATCTGTATATAACCCTCCTTTTAGGGGGGTTAAAACATAGTTTATACTAAAGAAAAGCATTATTTTAAGTCTCAAGACTAGCAGACAGGTGGATGTTCTTATAAGTAGGTGTATATGTTTAGGTATGTATATGTATATGTTTAGGTATGTATATGTATATGTTAAGGTATGTATATGTATATGTTTTGGTATGTATATGTATGTATGTATATGTATTAGTACCACAATATAAACTCATTCAACTGCGTTGTACACCTGTCACAATGGCTCTTCGTCAGCCATTTGCATCTCCAACTCCAACTTCACTTCCATTTCCTCCTGCACTTGCATTTCCCATTTCCCATTTCCCATTCACATTTCCATTATACCAAAGCTGGCCATGGCTTTTTGAGCAGGCTTTTAGCCATCGTCTGGCGAAACAAGGAAGGCCTAGAAATGCACACTCCAGTTCATTGACTCAAAAAATGTGTGTAAAAAGTGAGCAAAAATGTAGGTCCTTAAAGGCTTTTGGTTTTTTGACTAGAAATAAATTTTGGAACTTAATTAATATCCAATCCAAGTTATTTCTCCCAGTGTATTGCCATAAAGGACATAGTATGAAAGAAGTACTTGCTGCTGTTCTGGACACACGCTAGATACATCGTCCCTAACCAGGTTCCACCTTTCCCCCCCCCCCAAATTGCATTTCACTTGCACTTTTGCACTCGCCAACAGACTCTGATGGATGCGGTTTGCCTTTCGATTCGTTCTGCTAGGCTAGGCCAACCAACCGCAAAAGACAGTTAACGGTTTAATTTCCGTGTTTGTTGCCATCGCATTTTCAATTACACACCAAATATCTATCTATGACTCTGTCTATGTATGGGTGAGCGTGTCCTTGTGCCTCGACCAGAAAATGTCGTAAATTTAAACGTTTTTATTGACCATTAAAAGCTGGGAAAAGGTTTGCTGGTCGGATATTAATTTGGTGGTTAGAGGAGAATTATTTTAAATTGATTTAAAATTTAAGTTTAAGCTTAAAAAAATGTTGGTTTTTGGATGTTTTTCACTGCAGTTATTAGGGAAAATTATTGATTTTTTAATTGGTTTAATGCAGTTTGAAGGTATTTCTGTGTTTTGATGGATGAAAAGTCTATGTAAGGTGAACTTTTCTTTCTCTATTTGCAATTTTTAAGTATTTTTATAAGAAATGAATCCATCAATAAGGTTAAAACTTAACAAAAACTGTTTATTATAAGCTAAATGTTATTTAATTTTTGATTTTTTTTAAAAAAATCAAAGAAAATTGCTTAATTCTGTAATAACAACTCTTAGCTAGACTTCCACAACCACTTACAAAACATCCTTCTGGCCAATTTCACTTTCTGTTTGCAATGGATATCCTCCACCCAAGCCCCTTCCTCCCTCTAGGACTTTCTCATACCTTTGTTAATCATTTATCTCTTTGCATTTATTTTGCATTTAATTGCATGTAAATTATTGTGCATTGGGCAGCACATGGCACTGAATGTTCGCACCTCCTTCTCCTCCTCCTCAAACTCAATCAACTTTAACCCTCCATCACCCGCACCAGGAAATCTCTTAACCCATTCCTCAACGTTTCGCTCGATTCCCTGCGGCGTTGCAAATCAGACACACAACATACACAGTACACCACTCTCGAAAATAACGATTCGTCGCATTTGCACCCATTTCCGGGATGCGATGCGATGCCGCCCAATGCCCCGAACCTCTTTCCCCACGGCGTGGTAACAACATTTCCGGTTTCCATTTCTCGCCGCGTGCCTTCGGGGCTGCATTTCTCGAAATGTCCGCAGTGTCCTGGCCACCACCTTCGCCGCCAACTCCAAACTCTATCTCCAATTTCGGCTCAATCACCATCTTCATCCTTGGCCAAGTCACCCCTTTTATGGCCAGATCACAATGCGCAACGTGTCGCAGCTGCTGACTGTCTGCCTCGCCCTCCCTCTCCCTCTCCCTCTCATCATTTCCCTTTCGCCCTCTCGTCTGTTTGTGGTTTTGGCCATCGAATTGAAAGTGCAGCCGTTGCCAAGTGCCAAAACACGGCGGAAAAACCGAACTAAATTGGGTTTTCGAAAAATGAAAATTAAGTTTTAGAAGTTTAAATTCTCAGAAAGAATTCAAAAAGTTGAATATGATTTCTAACTTCTTTTCTAAAAACTAAACTTTAATAATCATTAATCAAAAAGCTTTTCTCAGTGTCTTTGCAGGATGTCTGCGCTGGCTGAATATTTCTGGTCGTAATCAAGTTTTGGCCCGCAAATAGACTCGTCGTCGCTGCCTCGTTGGACTCGTTCAAGCGCCAAGTCTAGTCTATAATCATCAAATCATGCCACAAATGTTATACCCAACAGCAACTACACATTGCATTGCCCATTGCCATTGCCATTTCCATTCCCTTTCCCATTTTAGTAACCCACTCTGCCAATCTGTCTATCAATCATGACGCCATCAAAATGCTTGACAACAAATCTTGACTGCTTAATGGTCATGGACAACGAGGAAATGGAATGGAATGGCTGCCAAGCCAACTGCAACCGAGTGGAATCGAGTGCAGCGCTACCGGGGATCTGAATTGTGGATCTGGACCTAAGATCCTTGGCCCCGATGTTGTTACGCCAGATGGCTAAAGCTCATCCAAATGGCAAGAGGGTAAAAGGGGGGGGGCAAGCACTCACAGCAGACGGGGAAAAGTACTTTCGGTGTGTTTGTAAGTATGTAATGT